TATCTGCTTCTGCAGACCTTTCTGACGTGACACCTATCTTTTCAACAACATGGTCATCAGCGTCTGGTGACGTGGATAAATTCTACACTTGTATGCCACTGACGTGTCAGTCCGACACTACTGTTTCTGGAAAGCTGAATTGTCGTGTTGAACATGATCGTTTTATGCTTGAGCTATCTAAGGTTACGGATACCCCTTTTAGTTGTGGATTATTCACCTATCGTACACTTCATCCTGGCGATGCGAATGTATCAGTTACGCTGTTACACGATGAAATTTTATCTATGCCAGAGTTGACTGCTAACGCCAAGATAGCGATATACGACCGGTTATCTCTATCTGTACACCCCGATTACAGTCATTTTCCATTGAAAACCGCTCCACCACCTTTTATGAGCGTTTCTCAGGGCACTGTGGACCAATCTATCTTGGTAAACGTCCCTATTGGCGGTAAAGTGCGGTTATTGGTGCGTGGCGGTCCACCAGTACAATCGGACGGTTTAGTAGTTGGTGGCTGTAAGGTTGCTACTAAGCACATTTTTGTTGATAAAGTCCAGGCTACCAAAACGGATTCGAATAACGGTCGTGCTATGTTCGATGTCTACTGTTTATCGGAGACAGCTGGTGAGAAGATCTGTGTAAGTGTCGATGGCGTTGTTCGTAACGAGTATTCCATAAGCTGTCGTCTACCATCATATATAGAAATTCATCCTTTAGTGCCTGTAAACAACCACGGTATTCGGGATAACCTTTTGTATTGCAGTGGTTCTCCTGTGAGTTGGGAGGATAGTGACATATCTTCTGGTGTATTCACTAGTGGTTCTGGTTTATGTTATAAGAACGAGTCTAAGACTACATGGCAGATAAAGATGAATTCAGAGGTGATGCACGCATTCCGTGCGATAGTATTTGATGCTTTTGGTACCCCTCTATGTCCTAGTCCTAGTTTCAAGGTCCGATGGAGCGGCTCGGCGGTTTCTGGGTCTTCCAAGGTATCAGAGATTTCTTTCCAAAAGATTGACAATTCATTATTTATATATGATACCAATGATCTTTCTGATCGTGATTTGGTAGCTAATTTGGAATGGCCCGATTCTTTCGATCCTCGTTATACATCGAGTAATGTCGCTCGTGTATTGCCACCCAAAGCGGTAACGGGTCAGATTACTATGAGCAAGATGTGGAAAAAGAGCCCAGATCGTCGAGGTACATATTATCTATCAAGTAGTTTGCGCCTCTTGCCAACTTTACCTCATGAGATCTTGATTGGTTCCAATATGATGTCATCTCGTCCCACAGAGAAGCGTGTAAGCATTTTCTTCAACCCACGTATGCGTTATCAGTTTGCTGTAGTACTCGGCACTGGTAACTATGTCGAGCTTACTGCCTATTCGGAATCTATCAAGTTACAACACAGTGCTACTTTGATATTTGGTACACCCGGTGAATTTGCTAAAGTTGTCACTGTGATGGAAGGTGTTACAAATCTGTTTGACCCTATATCTGTTGAGAATAGTATGACGAGGGATGGTAAATTGATCTCGGTTCCAATACCTGTGAAGTATATGAACTTTGTATGCCCACACCCATGTTCGCGTTCTTTGGATATAGTTGATCGAGGTCAGCTTGGCCAGGTAACAAAATCTCTGATTGTCAGTCAATCTGTTGCATCGAAGTTACATATTATCGTGAGCGACATTTCGGACATTTCAGCTTTCGAAGATTATGATGAGCTATCTACTCTACGTGACAGTCTCAGCTTACTATGTGTAAAAAGGTTATATCGGTTACATGCCGTGGCTCTGGATAGTGATGGCGTACCTATGTCATACCCATCTCTAAGCGGTCTAAAATTCTCAGTTTGTAGTCAGAACTTGGTTAAGTTGGATCATCCTAAAGACGCAGGGTACAGAACCGTTGGCAGCGCTATGGTCGTGCAATGTTTAGCGGAGGGTAAATATACCATCCGTGCGGAGATTCGTAACTACTCTGGTTTAGGTGATACTGCTGAAGGTATTTTGGTATCGGATAGTTTGGAGATCACTGCATATAAAGAGACTAAACCTATATTGGCTTCGATTTTAATGTTACCAAATAGTGCTGAATTCCATATATCAATGTTGGACAGCAACTTACTACGTTCGTTCCCATCCCATAGCGCCGCATTGGAGTCTTCGGATGATTCTATTTTGAACGTATTGAAATCTGGATCACTAGGTATAATTCGTTCTGGTAAACCTGGTTCATGCACGTTGACATCATACATCCCTGGAGTCACAAGTTCACCTTCGAAATCCACTACCCCTGTATCGGTATCTATACCACATTCTGTGTCTGTACATGGTCCTAACCATGTCCTTATCTCCAGGAGTGTGGTACTACACGCTAGGTTACGTGACTCCCAAGGACGTTTCTTCACACCGCTATTCTTAATGGCTACTTCCGAGTCAACAGTGCAATCATATTGCACATTCAGTTGGAATGTAGTGGGTCGTGGAACCTTTATCGATAGTGATGAGCGTGTTTCAAGCTTATCTGGTGCGGGTCTCACTCGTGTTACGCTGTTGGTAACCTCTCCTGGTTCAATAACAGTGTCATTACGAGCATCATGCCGTAACCTAGGTACCTATGGATCAATTGAGCTTGTGGCTCCCAAGTTCTCTATCGATGGCGCAGTGCCACTAAGCATCTTTGGCACTCCACTATCGGAATCCATCATTCTATCACCTAGGTCAACCTACGAGAGTTTGGCAGGTATTATAGAATCGGTCGCTTCTAGTGACAGTGATTTGATTACTTCTGAGAAGGTGGATGGTCAGGTATCATTAAAAACAGATGTGAAGACAGGCCATGTTCTATTAAAAACATCAGATAGCTATGTTACACATGTACAGGTCTGCAATATAGACCAACTGCATATCCATAGCGCCAACCTATTTAGCGGAGTCGTCAATGTTTTCAAGAGCGGTCGTAAGGATCTGGGTGTATATTTGAAGACTAAAGATGGTCAACGCATTTTGCCACCAGTTGATATCCGTCTAAAATATATGTTGAGCAATGCATCTTTATTCCGAGTCACGTTATCCGGTGCTACTATCCAAGTTTCTGCAAACTCTACAGATGGTTGCTCTCGCTTTATGGTTCTATTGGATGACAATGATGAGCAGTTTACCGGTACCAATCTTGTATTTGATACAGTGACCCTATGTGTCGTTAACGCATTAACTCCACAAGATGCTGTGGTAGTTAGGGGTTCATCAGTACGTTTCCTTGCGGGCGACAGTCGTATGTTTACCGTGCAGCTGAACGCCGCTGACCTAGTTCGACGATATTCATCGCTTGAGAACCGTGCTGATATCCGGATATACCAAGATTCACTAACAACGTCAATGGATACTGTATTATCAGATTTAAAAGGTGACCTATCTCGGGCGTTATCAAACGTTTTTCATGATCTAGGTGTCCATGACTCAGGTTGCCTCGAGCTAATGCAAATCCACTCACCGTATTTGGATGTATCGCAATATCCTGGCGGTTTCAAAGCGTTATACGTTTTCCCGTTTTCCATATGCCGTGATGTGGATAGTTTGATGTTTGCTGCGAAATTAACTGCCCTGCTACACGAGTTTGGACGGTCTGGTGTAGGTATCTTTTCATTAATGGAGTGTGGAGTGTCACCTATGTTTGAAGGTACATCTATAGTTCCCCAGGGATCTGGTAACCATACTATAGACTCTGGGTCTAGTTGGACTGTTGATAATACGGATATTTTCCGTGTTCGTGGGTCACACGGTGTAGCTGTGGGAGTGGGTACTGCTGTAGTGAAGTATGACAGTGCAGCTATGAAGGGCGATTCTCGTATATCAGTGTTTGACAGTGTGTCTAGTGTTGAATACCAGCATTTCGTATCTTCAACCCAGCGTGCACCCGCTTTCACGACATCGATAAGTTACAAGGAGTTCAACGAGCCATTTTATATAGTATTCAAGGCCAAGTCATCGAACGGCGTTATTCTACGTAACACAGTACAGATTGATTCCAAGGTGGTGGCTGCGTGTGAGATTAGCGGCAGTGAACCTTGGTTATCAGAGTTGTTCATATCAGAGCCAATATATCTACCTTCTGGTGTTGCGGGTGACTATTTGCCAGCATGTCGCGTATCAGTTCGTCACGTGGGTAGCCGCGAAGAATGGACAAAGTTGAGCACTGCACTAAAGAATTCCTCGGAATCTGTTTCTGACGTGAAGCTACGTGTAATGCTATACTCCACGTTACCTTCTGATGCGAAATCAGGAGCTACCACGGTATCACCCGTATCTGTAGGTACTCAGCAGATTTGGGTGAGTCTACGCAATATCGACATTTTGTTGTGGGATCGTTCATTTAATTGGAAGGTGCCTGTATTCGCACAATTCGTTGACATTTATGGCAACGCCGTTTCAGAGGTTGCTGTGGAAGCAGGAAAAGGTGTGACCTTATCGGTATACCCTCACTACTCTCGTTGCAAGTTGAGTGTCGGAAGTTCTCATTATAAGTTACGTGTAACTGAGCGTCAGGGTCTGCTATCTACGTTTGTATTGGATAACGATGGCGTGGTGGAGCCCTCAAGTGTCCGTTTGGTATGTCATCGTTCTCCTGCGGCGACTCTGAAGATTACACAGCCATCTTCAGGCCCGGAGAAAGAGAGTACACCGGTCTCGGCACAAAGTGACCGTGTCACTTACAAGGTTGACATTATATTGCTACTATTTACAGTCGCTGTAGCATCTGCTTTGGCATATTTGATTTACGCCTTGACACATCGTCCAAATGCACGGTATTTCGAGACTGCAGAACCTATCAAGCTTGAGCGTCGACTTCCCAATGTTTTTGAGAAGCTGCACCAGACTGATTATTACGGTTCCAGTTCGGCAACCACCACACAATATCAACACCGTCGTCGTCCTTAGACGGTGTTTGTTAAAGAATTTTTTATAAAAAACACATGTCGTGAATTTTCGATGATACTTCCCAGTTTTTTGGGTAAACCCTCGCAGGGTAGCGGTCCATCGGCGGATGTCTGCGCGTCCGATATCACCGTGCGAGATGGCATATGTGTCTCCGTTGCGGGTAATAGCGGTGACTTTATGGCTTCAGATTGTTCGGAGGTCGATGTGTTGCGTGAATTTTATATATCTCGTTTAACAGAGGTCGCAAACAAAGAACCAAACAGTTGCAATGTATGTGATCGTTGCAGTTCAGCCCTAGACAGCACACCTTCTAGTGCCAAGGCAAGTGACCAAGATGTTAATAATGCCGTGGCGGATTGTACAGTGTCGGCGGGATACGGTGGAAGGTTACCGGTGATCGACCGTGAGGCGTTGTCTAATATGGCCGCTTTGAATGTTCAATTGGAGGAATACTATCGCATAGTAAATGAGGAAGGTAACGGTATCAATGGGTTGAACACAGATGACCCTTTATCTAGAATATACCTGTCATGTTCAAGTACATGGCCACGGCCGTCGGAGCTACTCGGCATTAACGATGCGGAAGGTGACATTGCCGAAGCGCTTGAGGCCTTAGATCGACGAGATATGTTGTGCCGAAAGATACTGGAGGTCCAACATTGCTATCTGATGGCGCTAATTGGTACCGGTGGCCAATCTGTGAGAGAAGTCGCAAACCTATCGCCGTCATTTGTTCCTCGTTTGAAGGGATCCGATGTTTCCAAAAGCGGAACTATCCCATCCCGATCTATAGGAGAAACAAGTTCAGATTTACAGTCTGACGGCGAAGAAGTACGCCGTCTTAGAAGGATGGTCGAACTTTACAAGAACGAGTTATCGCGTCTCTACGACTGCTGAAACCAACATGGCGAATATTAGGGTGTCTCCCAAGCCACACCAACGCAGCATAGCGCTGTATGCCAAGGAAGATAGGCGTACATTGTACGCTCCATGGGGGAATGGCTCATCATCGTCGGCCTGGTGGCAACAGCGGGGCGTTGAATATTCCGCGGTGTAACCTATCGTAATGAATATAGTAACGTAGTGTTAATTCATATGCTAATACTATAGGTTATATAAAGCTATTTAAACCTAATATGCTCGATAATATTCGATATTCCAGGGACCCAGTCACACCGGGTGCCATAACATAGGCCTGTCTTCGCCGTTTATGTTATACACATCTAATCTATTAATGGACATTTCTGTTATTCGTGGAAGATGTAAGCACAATAACGCCATGCGTTCGCGTAGATGCGCTAAGCGGAAGTTGAAGCGAGGCCTTATACATCATGGCGCAAAACAACTAGCATCACCCAGCCTATCGGGACGCATACCACACCTGAGTTCAGAGGCAGTGGATGTGGATGAGGTCATATTCTGCGTATTGGACAGTTTAGTCGATGGGAACCCCGAGACCGAAAGCGCGGCAACTAACGCCGTTCTCAGCTTCGCACAAAGACAACAAAATTTCACTATACGAGCAATACTACACTTCCTAGAAGTACAAAGAACCACAGAATCACATCAACATGTACTACTCACACTGCTACGCAAGTGTATCACACAGTCACACGAGACTATACCTACAACCGTAATGCGAGATGTACTACTGTTCATGCTAAAGGAGTTGAATTTCCTAGAACCAGGGGATCTGAGACAGTCGGTAATAGTTGAAGCCGTAAATGAAACAGCAGTACTATGTCCAGCGTTCTCAGTTGAGGTGATACTTGCCTTCATACGTGATATGCGACAGGAAAGTTCATGCCTAACGGAGACACTTTCCATATACATTCGTGTACTAGCACATGTATACCTACACGCGTGTAACAATGATTATATACGGAGCGTAGATGTTGTCGGCCAGATCTTGTCACTATATGACCATTCGACACTAAGTGTGGATTCCGGAGAATTGTGCAAAAACTTAACGGCGCTACTCTACACGCTCTCCAAAGCATTGTACTCACTACAGGAATGGACATCAGATGATGACACTATCGCGAAACCATTTGAGTTATGCGAAGCACTGGCACTCGAGGATGCAGCAGGCGATCGCTTTTCATTATGGTTTGCCCGGTACCTGGAATATCGGCCATCGGTGGGACCTGGTAATGAGGAACAAAGTGAAACTATGGCTGTAGAGCACCTGGGAACATTAACAGACAATGCTCCACCATCGGAGTCCGACTTGATATGGTCCGCGAGGTCACAGGATGCCATGTCCCAAACTTCCGGAAACAGACCTGTTGTTAGGTCGTTACGTCTAGGATCTCATAAGAGGGTCCTGTCATTTGCGGCAGCACTTTGTGCCACGGGTTCTGGAGGAGAATGTACATATCGGGGCTGTTCAGGGGGAGAAAATGGGCACAACATATCTGCAAGAAAGGCCAATACCTCAATAGATAGAATGGAAATTGGACGTTATGATGTATCACTTACACATATTCCTCATATATGTGATGCAAACATCCTCTACGCAAATAATCACACTCCACCGAAGAGGCAGTTTACTACCTTTGGCGCTATGGGACATAGACATAGGGCACATCATAGCGGCACAAAAGGTGTAAGGCGTATCGGAAGTGGATGGTTCCTATCTGCTGCAGGAGTGCCACAGATATCACCAGATGTTTGGGTACAATCGATAACACGGAACCATGCAGCAGGACGTGATACTGTCTTGCAGACCGTCAGCGGGCCCATGGGCATACCTACTGTGGGAATACCTGCAGATTTCCAAGACGTACTGGAACCGCTATTTGAACTCATGATAGCCAGGTCGCTGGCATCCATATACACCCACCCGCATTACCATGTTACCTGTATGGAGACCTTATTCGCACTATCACTGCTGTCGAAACACGTCTCAGTAGCCGTACTAGTGAGATGTGGGCTAACCTTGCTGGATAGTGTAGTTGTCAGGTTCTACCATTATATACCAAATATGCAGTATCACCCATTATCAGTTCAAGGACATACAAGTGTATGGATGGCGTTGCATAAAGAATCAAGCGATACATATAGGAACAAAATTGTGACCATATTTTCGTCCATTGGCGCATACGGTGATAAGATTTCAATGCTACCGCCTACAGCACTTGTTATGTCATTGCTGCATCTGTGCAAGGTACTTATGCAAAGACATCCACACAGTGTTGTGTGCCAGCTGCCGAATATATGTGAGGTTCTATTCGGGATGTTTATGGGACTGCACGCCTGCGGTAAGGCAACATTATTGGCATCGTGTGACAGCAGCTTTATCACATTCTGCGCTGATGAAGAGGACCTATTGTTGCGTAGAAGCGCTATTTCCGAATTCCTCGACGTCACCTCCGCATCAAGCTGCAAGGACTTTGTACGCAGTCTAGTAATAGCATGCCGATTCTTTGCATCAGTACCCGATACTAGATGCTATTTCATAGATTTCCTTTTCCGCAAAACTTCCTGCAATTCGGATAAAGAGGTATCGGTCGCATTATTCATGTTAGGATGGTCCTGCTCCTTACCTTCGCTACGTGACTCCTTAACACTATCTCGTTGCGTTACCGCGCCGGCGAGACACTTCGGGATGCGCGGGGCGCTCTATTGGCGAATCATAGACACGCTTCAACAGCTTTTAAGACGGATGCCAATAGCATCAGCCAACCCTTTAATACTGAGGCTTATGCTCACGCTAATCAACCACCTATCTAGGGGACAGTGGTTGCTACTGCATTGCTTGGCGGGGTACAGAAATTCGACGAATTACGGAGTTGACTTTTCCCCGGAGGAAACGGATATAACTATACCGCGAAGGATACATGCATTGATCGATTTCGTATTCAGCTTAAAAGTGGTTTACGATTTAGAAAAACGTATAGCAGAGAATAGTAACAAGGCAAATACGGTTAATCCCAAATTGACACCCGAATTCTTCAGGAAGATATATTGCGGACACCATACTTCAAACTATGACCTTTGCCTACTAGTATGCGGTAGCAGGAGTTTCGAAAGGTTCTTGCTCACACACTCTGGAGATATCATGCTGATGTACCTTGTGCAAGTGATGCTTACAAACTCAAAGATGAGCGTTTTCAGCGCGCTGCGCTCAATATGCTCGCTCTTCTCCAGGTGTACAGTGGAATCGATATCTAGAAGGTGCTCGGTATCTGCATACTCCAGGTTACTCGCGTTCGTACTCGTGTACCTACACGATCCTTTCAACTATTTCGGTGAGGCTTTTGCAGCAGCAAAGGCGCTGCCTTACATCACACAGGTGTTGTTTGGACAGCGTCTGGAACTCACAACAGGCGTAAATGACACATGGCACAAGTCGAACTACACCGGTCTAGATTCATATATGCTCTCATTTGAACCAGGGGAATGCTACAGTAGCCTAAGTGGCAAAGACTATATTGTGCTACATTTCGAAAAAATTAGTAACGTTCTACACCAGATGGCAGAATCCACATCGTTTGCCAAGTCCGCGGCTGACGTGATACAACAGCTATGCCGAATATGCCAAAGTATCAAACCACCACCAGCAACTTACACATCACTCTTGAAACTAGGCAATGTACACTCCTCAAGCCTAATGACCATGTACCACAGTTTGGGGATACTCCATACCATCGCTGCATACTCCAGGTTATCTGTGGACCTGTGCTCAACGCTTGTAGATATACTACTGGGATACCGTGGCACGACTGCTACCGGGATATGGGATAACAATTTTGCACTGGATGAAACGATTTCGCCATTAGTACCCAATGTGGCTAAATGGGCACCTCTCGCGTTGACAGTATCGGAACAGCTTCGTTATACCATGCTACAGCTGGGTATGTTCATGAGGTCACGGATGGATCCGCCACAAGAGGTGGAATGGTACCTTGACCATACGTTACATGATTATCATCTAATGTTCGTACATCAACCAGATGACTACTTGCAACAGGAATCGTATATACTGATGGGACATATTATCAGCACATTGGGTATGTACACGCCATATTATCGCTGTGTGTTATGGAAAGTTTATTACGCCCTCCGTTCACGGCTACCGAGTACCGGCGCACTATTTACAAAGTTCTCCGGATCCAGCTTTGGTGAACCACTGAAAGTCATCGCCATAACTGCACTAGGGTACTTGTACAACAGCGCGCCTACAGAATCTATAGACCAGTGCTTTACGGTTAGGCCCACGGACCTAGGCAAGTTGGCGGTCGAGGTGTCTCGACACCATGAGTTACTATACACGCCGACAGAAGAATCACATATGATACACATGTACAACTGCTGTTTCCGTGAAAAATATGAAGAAACGGTATCGAATGATTTGGCTGCTGATTGCGGGATATTGAGATGTATCGTAGCACCGATGCTGTACTATACCTTCTTCGAGACGGATCCTACGGTACAACTTGCAATAGCAAGGACATACCTCCTCACCTTACGGTCGTTCAACACTACGAATCAACACAATGTAGATGTAAGGTTCCCGTTTACCGCGCTTAGAAGGATATTATATTTTGTGTCAAAACCTACATTAAAGGAATTCGGAGGTAACCAACATTATGATTCTAGCGCTTTGGAACAACAATGTGCATATCTATTCAACTGCGCTCGTTGGGATCTGAACTTTCCAGACGTACGTGCATTCGAGAATGCAGGGTTTAAATCACCAACGGAAACTATCACTTGTTCTAATGTATCACTGGGGTTCTTCGCCGCGATATGCCATCTATCAGACACCTTGACTACGTCGGATAGCGTGCTGCCATCGCTGCACGTAGTGTTGTCGTTCATGGATTATTGGAAAACGAATGTAGAATCGCATGGATCGACTGGAACAACAACTGGTATTGATGTCAGGGCACTCACTACACGTTTTATGCGGAACTGTGTTGAAAAAAGTGGATGGCATAGGCTGGCACATGTCTTGGCTATGACATTGTTCCTGACTGAAGAGTTCCCCAAAGATTTAGTAGAACACAGGGTATCATTGGCAGTAGAGTTTTTGGATGGTATCGATCTCTCATCGTATGCATCAGTACACACATGCAACGAATGTGATTACAAACATTCGAACCATGGTAATGTTGAGCGCAACGGTTCAAGGGAAGATATAGCGGCAATAGCTACAGTGGATCGTAATGAAATAGGAAATGGTGAAACGGTGGCACAGGAAGTAACTCTTTCCGACCAAATAGATTTGAATGTAGATGGATCCAAAAGTGTTATTATTGAGACGGAACAGCATGGAGGCCACGAAACGTCGGAAAATGATTCGGCCGTAACTTCAACAGGTGAAGAAGATCACATGAGATATGTAGAATGCGTATTGCTCCTATGGGCACATATGCTAAGACTAGATACCGGTAACGCGCTAAGAGCGTCTGTCAGATGCTGTCTTGAAAGGTTACTCTACATTAACGCTCCTGAAATGTGTTCGGTGGTGCCACCCGTCGGTTCAATGACCACTGATAGTGAGGTTTATAGCGAACATTGCTCTATAACACACTGTGATAACGATGAAGTATCACATATCGGTGGTAACCGGACTATATCCAACCAGTTTGCTATGTTGGAACATAGGGAAGTGGACACAACGGTTGTAGTACCACCTTTGAAATCGCCACTTCTATCTAGAGAGGCGTATCTTGTCCATACATCCTGCAGAGTTGTCGCGAATGTTGAACGTATCGACCTTTTGGTACCTAAAGAATCTCTAATGCTCGCACTTCTGTGTTGTATGAAATACCTTTCGACATCAAGTTGTATTTCTGGGCCATTTGCCGAAATCTTGCAACTCATACTCCAACAGCGCTACTCTGACCTTGACCACGAACATCTGGAATCGATACTGGCTACGATATTTTCTAACTTCTCATCAGCATTTGAACAGAAGGATGTACCATGTTCCCTACACAATTTTGTAGTTGACCTTGCTCAAACAGATTTCGAGGTGCTATGTAACGTGATCTTTGCATCCAAATGTAACTACTCACAGAGCTTCAAACTATCAGTCACCGCTTTAATCACATGCAACGCATGGTTGATGCTGCAACTCCTGGAATTCCTGGAAATGTCACTTTTGTCAAAATATCAGCAACGACCTTCGTCAAGATACAGCGTTCCCATGGACTACATATTAGACTTTCTAGAGAAGATATACCTCCATAGCGAACATGAGATACTGAGATCAGAGGAAGGTGTTAGGTTTGTAACCGCCTTAGTTTTACATTTCAATTTCTTGGCAAAATCGGATAACAATGAAAATGTACAGGTTATGACCTGGTTCAGAACACTTGCTGATCGCCTGGTGGTTCATGAAAGTAGTGTATCAGGGCTCAACAATGGTAGCGGCGACGCGGGCTCGGCAGCTCGGACCCCTTGGTTATCGAACACTGCACAAAGTGATGCCGATATGCCTAATATCGACCATGCGGTCCTACGCAGCTGTAGAGCATTACTGAGATCATCAGAATGTTACATAAAATGTTTCATTACATTTTTGGAAGGAACATTACAACACCGATTTGATTTCAAGTCGGCATTTCTAAGGGTATGCCTTTCACTATTCTGTAACCTTTTACGCGATGGAGCCTTCGGACTATACGGAGCAACCGTACTAGGCTTAATACACAAGATTACATTGTCAAAGGAACACCAACGGATATACTATCGATCTTTGCATTACTATCTCCACTATGTGGAGCTGGTGCCTATGAGCCCATATACACGTCGTTTCAGATGCCTAGGGTCGTTAAGTCGAGTCCGACAGGATGTGACGTACCAGATGTCGGATGAGGGGCCTGAACCTATAGAACGTTCGGAACACACCAATAATGCCCCTACAGTATTCAAAGGATCATTGCCAATGCTAACCGATGGTGTAGACGGATTGAGACGATGTGTACTTGACCGTCTGGTGGTATCAATTCTAGATGATATTTCTCAACCACTGCCGAATGATGTGCTATACTGTCTCGAACGTGCTGCAGCAAGTTTAATCAGGTACGCCACGGAAAGAAGGCACCATAGGGTCCGTAACATACGCGTGTTGGTTGCAAGGATACTGCGCAGTTATGATATACTATCTCGTCGTGAGCCTTCGTTACTATATGCGTTTGGAGAGCTGTATCTGGCTATCACGCGATGGATTCAGGGGTGTATGGCACGAGGCATGATTCTACCAGTAGAGGTACAAAGGCATCTGCTGCCGCCACTAGCAATGTCACTACTACACAAATCGGGCTCTATAAGGTCAGGTGCAGTATATCGTCGATTAATACGGGTTATCGTACAAATATTGAGTGACCATCCAGTTGACAACGAGATATCCACGGACTCTGGAAGTGGTTGGATGAAAGGGGTACTATTACGTCACCCTCGTTCCGTAGAGATAACTAAATCCACAGATCTCTGTCTATGTGGATGCAACAATCCTCATTTGCGTCATCATTCCGGACAAAGATTCTGTGTATGCAATGCATTCTATCTCTTGGACGTGTTCAGCAGCTGCTTCCCCAGCTATAGCTGCGCATTAGACATGAGCGTAACGGAGTCGATAGATTCCGAGATGGCGAGATTACGCCGAGATGAACACATGAAACGAACTTCACAAGTGTTATTCGGCAATTCTAGCGATGTTAGTGTGGATTCACCCATGGTATTAGGCGCTCTAGCAGCAGTTTCGTGCAGCGGAGAGGATGCAGAAGATGATCGTGATTTTGTTGATCTCAATGATATATATAGAGTGCGCATGCCTCACATATCGAAAAATACGACGTCAAGCACCAGGGGAAACGTCATATCAAAGTTCTCGCCAACAGTTATGCTAACGGCACGGTCGATGCGTTCAACATCCTTCGATAATGCAAATGCATTCTTTAGAGAAATGAAACGGGCAGTATCGGCTGATCCAAGGATGGTTGGCGCTGATACGACCGATGAATGTATGATTAGTTTCGATTTGCTGTCAAGACTTTCTATTAATGCCGGCGACGGCATAGGCTTGGAAACATGGAATTCTATGAAGGAAACTTTAGAACAGTCTACGTCGTCCAACAATACAGCAGTCGAGCAAAGATTTGATTCTCTCGAATCTGTTAGCGATAAATCTGACGTTGCACTATACCTCGCAACAGCAGGACAGTCCGACACCGTCACGTCTATCACTGAACGCGATGCTAACGGCCGAGATGTATACACGGAGGAGGGTGCTAAACTGACCAAGGAACAATTAGCGGAAAGTAACGGTCACCTAGGAGAACCTGTCAATTTGAAATCGGGATGCATGACACCCTTGGAAATGCGTAAGGAAGATAATAACAAAGGTAGCATTCTAGAAGAGCTGCAAAGAACAGATACAAAAGATGAAATTGATATTGCCACTTTCAATAGGATAAATAAGCGTTTTCGTAGACATACTGCGATGCAACACCCACTTTTTTACAAGGGATCGTTGGCTTGCACGAGTTTATCTGAAAGCGCAATGTCGAGGTTAGAAAACAGCGGGTACGTTCCCGGGAAGGGAGCTGGTGCTTGGAACACTCAAGTACTGAAGAGCACTTGGTTTGGTCGACCTGTGCCCATAAACAACGAATCACTGGTACTACCACAAAGCACGGAAAGCGTGGAATCCACTGAATTCAAACGCGCAGATCACAGAAATCGACGTTCTATGGGAAGAACACTTGAAACTTTGCCATGTATACCTTCGTTAATGCAGTTACTCAGCATAGCTGATTTCCAATTCCAAAGCGATGGTTTGTTGAAGCGTATTAATGCATTCACCAATGAACAAGTTGGTGGAAGGACAACGGATGAACCAACTCAAGTATATCGTGATGTCACATTCTTCGATATCTCAAATCTAGAGAGCGTATGGAACAGCACATTGTACACTTCGCCGGTAGTATATAGATACCTCCTACTCAGTAGGTATACTACACGCCCTCGCCTCTACATATCACTCGGCGGCGAACAGAGGCCTCGACCAGTTTCCCGGCATCTACAACATGCTCCTGCACAATCACCAATAATCGCTGCTGTTAAGCGGGAGTTACATGCGGAAGTACAAGCAACAGGGAAAACAGGACAACCTAATCCACTCAAGGATAAACCGTCTGTAACCCAACCTGTAGTTGAACCAACGAAGGACGCTTTTGAACCCGAGGTGCCAGAACATGTTATTGTAAACGCTGTGCGTGGCTCGGCTGCCATATTACATATGGCACTCCTCCACTTAACGGAAGAGGAGGAATTGCTACGCCAATATATTGTCGATAGGTGGCCACGTTGTTTTGTCGAAATGGCACGTTATAATGCCATAATGCATTTCGAAGCGTGTGCAAAGGTCACTGCTAAACAGCTTTGTAAGATGCTCTACGGAGCATCCGGCCTCGTAAAACGCGTACTTCTAGAATCTATGGAGGTATTTGCAATGGTACGTTCAAATTCACTCCATTGCGACTAGGACAGTGCAAAAAAATGAATAGTAACACATTAACTGCTTGACTTTGTCCGTTTTCTGTCAGCCAGACGCTGGAGCATGCTCACCATAGTGCAGATTACCGAATTCGGTTGCATATCCTGAAAATAAAATGAACTATATTGCTATACTTTGATAGAATTAAGGTACGCAACCGGATGCGGGTACCCTGATAGACAATAGACTAGATAAACTTACATGGTTATACCATTGAAGAGTTAAGATGTTGTTAGTGCCGTGTCTTGCCTCCATTGTACCCACCCGAAGTACTTTTTCTGAAAACATGTATGACCTTGCCAAATGATAAATGTATACGGATGTAGTTTTAAGTGCACAGGTAACTATCGACGGACTTACCTCCGGAGTCCAGGGTTTCAGCGTGAATGGGCACATCTTCGACGAAGTAGCCGGTTTCAGATTGAACAAGTGATGCGATAAATTCTGTAGTTTCCATAAACCTACGTTCAGAACATTTGATACTCTGCCGATGTTTGATGCGGTGTAACGGCAGTTCCGGGGCCATGGGCAGCCTGGACATTCCCCCCCTTATCAGGGCTGCCAGATGGTTTCTAGATATCACGTAGAGACGGTGGTTCTTAACCACATCATCGAAAAGGTTGTGCAACGTAGAACTCATTTCGCCGCCGTCGTTCTCCATTTTTAACATTGTACACCCAGGATTACTAGGTTGTACAACCACAGCGGCTATCTCATCCGGTGGCTCCTCCAGCTCCTTGATGCCGAAGTTTAGTGTGTCTTCAAGGCTGGAGTTGACGCTCAGGGTCAGACCCGAAGATTCAACAAGCAGCTCTGGATAATGAAACAGAGCGACAGTCTCTTCAGATGGCTTTGGCTTAATTATTATCGTCTGACCGTTTGCAGGGTGGGATACCGGGATACCTACCTCCATAGCAACGTGTTTTGCAAACTTCTTCATACCATCATACTCACCGTGAACAAGCACCAAGTGTTTAGGTTGCACCTGAAAATACGTTCTTGATATTTTCAATACAACATACCTGTTTGATTAGCCTCAGGATACCCGCACTATCAGCGTGTGCTGAAAACGAAAGGTATCTAACTTTACATTTTATCTCAAATGGACCAGTACTCGTCTGGATAACCTTTTCACCGGAGATCAATTTGTTACCTACGGTACCCTGTACCGCATAACCGGGGATAACAATCAAGTTCTTAGGGTTGGGTGCCCATAACTTGCAAGCCTTCAGTGATAGTCCCGAGTGTACCATTCCAGGTGTCGCAAATAGTACCATCGGCCGCTCATCGTTGAGCAGGTTATTGTCAAATGGTAGCACGTTGTTAAGTAAGAAGGGACTATCGTCAAGGTTGGGTAAGTTACGACAATCCGTCCATGTTGAGTGTAACTTGTAATAATTAGTCGCTCGTTCAGACAAACCTCCTCCGAAGTAGATGGGATACTGTAGTTGCAATCTACTCCAATAATTGTCCAATATTATCGCAAGCTCCTGCGCCCGACCAACTGCAAACACAGGTATCAACACCTTGCCACCTGCAAGTAGACAATCATGTACAACCGTACAAAGTTCCATCTCCGTAGAACGACGCGGCTGCCTAACAACCGATGCATAAGTAGATTCACATATGAGTACATCCGGCTTAAGTGATGGGATATGCGCAGGTCCAAGATGCTTGTCTGGCGACATGTTGAAGTCGCCTGTATAGAGCACAGATATACCGTCACATTCTACGTGGAACATTGCTGCCCCTAGCACGTGACCGGCATAGTACGGGGTGATGGTGATGTTACCGAGCTTCTGTGTTCCTCTGAGCTGCATTACACGCGCACGTCCTAGACTGTCTGCTACGCACTCCAGGGTGTAGCCCCAAGGGTCCACCTTACCAAGCTCCTCAGTTGTAGGAGGTTTGCGCTTTTTTGTACGATTGAGAAGCATATTCACTCCACGTGTTCCACCCGGAGGTTCCGTAGCACTACGGAATTTACTAGCAACAACCTGGACACTGTCTCGAAGCAGTATCGGTGCGAGACCCCTAGTTGGGTACGTCATAAAAACTGGCCCCTTATATCTGCAACATATGCTACAGCTAATATATAAACTTACCCTAAGTGTTCCGTAAGGAAGGGCAGTGCTCCTACGTGATCCAGATGAAAATGCGATATGATGGCACAGTCGATGTAGTCGGTAACATTATTAAGCGTCTTCCTGAGAGCGTTCTTCATACAGGTTGCAATGCGTATATTCCCTATAATATATATTAGCTTAGAATATGAAATTCCTACTTTCTTTGGCGCTGTTACTTGCGGTGTTACCATTAGAAGTGTTCTGTGCTTCAGCCGGGGCAGTGGGATTTCCAGAATCTGAAGAAACGTAATCTGCCCGGCCAGTGGCATCATCCATTTCTATGTCACCCATCTCTTTCATCTGTTCATTATATAGGGCATCATATTGTCTCGGATCCCCTAAAAGTTGTAGGTCTGGGTACCGCCGGTGGTCAACGAAGCCGCAGTGTGCTCCGCAGTCAAAGACAATGCGCCTAGTGGGAAAGGTAACCACGACACACGAACGTCCAACATCTTGGCCTGCGCCAAGCATCGTAATAGCAAGGCTCGCCATGGTATTCAATATCCTCAACACCGAAGGAAACCACAAAAAACTGTAGCCGAACCACCTTCCGATTAAATCCAAGTTTTCACTTAACGCAATTTTACTGTATAATACAGGTTTACATTGTCATGAATTATTATGGAACAATGGAGGTGATTTATAACGCCTCAGCGCTCACCATCGACATAGTATAAGATACAATCAACCTCCGGAAACGCCTTTTCAGGAATCTAGTGTGTTTTGTTAAATTTAGTTATGCCAATTTTATTCGCTCGTTATTAACCTAACCGCAACGGTGCAAATTGTGAAATATAAGGCCAAGGTGTACAAGTTTAAAACAACCAAATATATATCACACCATTAAGCGCACTCAACCTGGAACCATTTCTTTAAATTTAATTATAAAGAAACAATAAAATTTTGCATTGGATGACGTGCAGAGGAGCGGTTAATATTAATGTGCCATCGCCCAAGGAATCATATGTGTAACTGAGGAATCACACCAATTTAAACAGTTAGCAAATATCACCTAAGGAACCAAGATGGTGTATGGTTATTTCTAGCATTGTACCCGCAACTATGCAGCAAAGAAGCTGGCTAATGACTTTACGGTTAGGAATCCTGCAGGTAACCATGTGATACTCAGCGGGATGTGTAGCGGTTAGCATGAACGACGGATATACCGGTGGTGTTAGCGTTAGAATGTGATGAAGATATATCATATTTGGAGCATATATGACGCTGTCTACACTCTGAATGCCTCCGATTTCATTACACACCCCCCCACGGTGAACAACTCATACTGCCGTTCGTTCCATTGATACCTAGTACAAGTGCAATAGCATCAAAAGTACATATGGCGACTCAGGCGGCGGAGAAGCCGCAGGCGCTTCATAACGAGAAGCGGTTTGTATTTCAAGGCAGCCTGAATCGCCTTCTAAATGATACCAAGCGAATTCCGCCGAGCCAAACGCCATGCGCAAAATGTACGCAACGGAAACGCGTGTGTATCTGTGGAACCGTTAACGGGGCAGTTGGTAGAACAGCATCTTACGAGATCACCGAACTCGTAGAAACGCGAGCCATGTTATCAGAACTCCGAGACTCGCTCAATGGAATAGATATAGATAAGTGGTCTATACACACAAAACTACTTGATGAAACTTCACTAGTAGTGAAGCAAGTAGCGGAAATCACTACAGTGGTCAATGGCAAACGTGAGCCAGGTGTCGAACTTGTGACGAACGCATGGGTCAAACTATTCGAAATTCTAGAATTCTATAAGGTAATTGATATGGTAAAACCAGATCTGGCAAGAAAAGGTGGTACAGTACATTCGTTCCACATATCGGAATGCCCAGGCGCTTTTATATCAGCAATCAACCATGCTGTCAAACAAAGGAACAGCCTCGCAAATCTATCATGGAAAGCAACGTCCCTAAACCCATATCACGAAGCTAATAGCCATCTAGAATGCCTCGCAGAGGATATACTATTTAGGGATACATACAGCAACTGGTTAACAGGTGCCGATGAATCGGGTAATATTACACGTACGGCAAACATAGAACACATATGGGATAGCGTAAGTCGACCGAGCAAGTTAAACAAGGGAAATGTACCGGTACTATCAGATGTAGTTACAGCCGATGGCTCATTCGACTGCCAAGCAGATCCTAATAACCAGGAGAAACTCACAGCACCACTGAAATTATCGGAGGTTGTATGTGCTCTAGGACTCATGCGTGTCGGAGCGGTATTCATACTCAAGATGTTCACTCTATTTGAAGAAAGCTCATTGTCTATTGTATCACTACTGAGCATGTGCTTCAAAACAATTGAGGTATACAAACCACACCTATCCAAATCAAACGGGTCCGAGGTGTATCTTATATGCATAGGGTTCAACGGCATTACATCAGTACTGCTATGTGCACTTTGTAGGATCATCAACGAATATGTTTCCACAAAGGAAAGGAAAGCGATCTTACCGAAAGAATGGATACCAAGTTCATTCAGGGCAGAATTCGTTGAATGCGCAAAAATGTTCGCTCAACTGCAGTGCCGAAGTTTACGAACGGCAATGTCACAGTATATGCAGTTAACAGATGAAAACGTATTCTACAAGAAGAAACGTGAATTTGCAAAAAGGTTCCTTGGACAGTTCCCAGTAACGGCAATACCCTCCGATTGCCGCTTGGTAAAATACATCTCGTTCAGCGATAATGTAATCACCGGGAAAGATACAAGCTCACTTTTTCATGTACCGAAACGCAGACTACCGGATCTTGACGCAAGACGGGCATTTTCAAAGTGCTACGATGATCTGCAGAAAAGGAGGGCAGAACTACACAAACAGTACAGGAGGAAAAAGGAACCACGACACTTCCTTTCATTGTCCAGAAGTGCAACGTGTGAGAACTTTGGACGCAATATTGGCGAGGCATTGCGATTTGCTAACGAATACCGACCGGAATATCCTGCCTTTGAAAAAGGACCACTCAGCCTAGACTTCGATCCTAGACTGCTGAGTGAATTACATTCCGATCTGCAGAATCAACGATATGTTAAAGAGTCGTGGTTTGTTGCAGCATCTATTCAATCGCATGAGATACGCATGAGCCATTTCGTTTGCAATGACCTGCTATTCGACGTCATGCGTGTTCGCACACACTGCAGCGAAAAACTTCCTATTGTCACGCCAATGGATATACTATGCGTCGATGGTGCCGTAGGTGAGGCTATGTCGGACATACATCTTCTACCTAACGCATCGACCGTAGACCTTGCACTTATTGTCAAACGTTATCTGGATCTGGAACGTTATCAGACCTACCTGGAAATAACATCAAATCCGTTACAACAGTTTCCTGCTGTCTCCTTGCTAAAACGTCATGGGATAGCTGGGTCGTTGATATATGGGTTCAGTGCAGCAGGAGATGCAACATCACTCATCCAATTCGACTCTTCGTACGAGCTCGAGGTTATCGTAGACTCTTTTGTGGGTGATGGTAACGTTGCATTCTGTTTCGATTTTAACTATGACCAATGTCTAGCCATGGGAGATAGCTACAAAAATCTCACCAGCCAGTTACAAGAATCGACAGTTAACTTCTCTTGTGATTTTGTTTTCTGTGATTCGAGACGCTCACCACAACATCACCGCGAGGTAGGACTTGATGAAATCAAGTCGAAACATGTGCTAGTTGCACAACTCGTACAGGCATTTTTCTGTCTGGATACTGGTGGAGATCTGGTAATCGCCATGAGCACGCTGTTGACACGATTCAGTGTCTGTATAATAACTGTGTTGAGGACAGCGTTTCAGGATGTGCATCTGTACCGACCAGAATCCGTTGCACCGTGGACTCAACGTACCTATATTGTATGTCGAAATTACAGCGGAAGGACTAATTCGTTCTGCCGTTACTACATGCAATGCCTCTGGGATGCCATATGCCTCCATAAGAAAACTGGCAAAGAGCTAGTGCAAATATTGCGTGCGCCATATTTCACCCATTTCGCTAGACAGTTGTGGGAGTTCAACACACATTTGATGCAATTACAACTTGCCGATTTGGAACTTCATGTAAAAGGGGAGCGGATTTCATCTTGCCGTGAGTCACATGCTGTTGCCTTTTTACGTGACCTCGATATAATCGACATTTTATATCCTCAGCGTCTACTGGAAATTAATGGCCCTTGTCACTTATTTGTCGAAGATAATGTAGGTTTTGCATCCTCATACTGTCATACTTTGCAGGAAAATGCCGAAGGTATACGCGTATCAGAAAAACGCCAAAGGCAAGATGAGTCAGACGAACAGCCAACCACACCGATAGAGTCGCCCGAAGACGACGATCCCCTAGTGTCACCCATCTGGTCTAGTGACGACGATTAACCAATGAATGTGTTGTATGGCGGTACCCCGTGTGTACCATCCGTTGCCCTCTTTGGGGTGTAGGCCTGTGCTCACACGGTCGCCATGTAAAGTCATATTTTAATAGCGAGGGGAATAACTGAGCACTTCACTCTCTCAACATTTTAATGTCATTATAGTGTGCTATGCATAGCATGATTAGATGTATGAAAACATTATATGTCGAAGGAGTTTTGCCATGTAACGCATTACGATGTCAAATGCAATAGTGAATGTTAATATGGTAAACCGCTACATTTTATGGGTCAATAGTTGGTCGTAAATGTTACATGTTATAACTAGAATACGACCTTATCGCTTGGATCTATCCAGTTAATAACTTTTACGTGTTTCGTATGTTTTACCGTGAGGTCGACATCCACGCGTTTCGGCATTGGATCTCTGCGAATTATCAATGCAACTATCGTGGCACTCACCTTGTTGATGGTAATGCAAATGCAGAAAGACCTTCTACTTGTATTGATTGCCTATATATCCAATCCGCAGTACTCTCAAAACCTAGATGAGTTGTTTCATCCGGTGCTTGAAAACATACCTTGAAATTCATGCTCCTCATCTTCTTCTTCGTTAGCAGTGTGGATGTATCCTGTGTAATATTGCCTTATCAAAACCGAGACGCACCTATATGGTCACGATATGCTTGTTCTTTGAGTTGTAGCCTTGCTTCTTCTAGAGTGATACGCCGATCCTTTGGATCGCACAATCGATTGTACAGGATAAAGTTGAGTAAGCTGAACTCCTTTACCACCCTCTGGACGGTAGATTCTTTAAATCCATAGCGCTCTGCTATCCTTCGTATGGTAAAGCGCCCTGGGTCCAGTGTATGTAAAAAGTAGATGTATTCCCTCATCAGTGGGTCTATTTTGCGGCACATAGGTAACTTGATGGGAAATATTCGTGGAAGCAATCTATTGAGCCCCGTGTCCTTCCAATACTCTTTGTTTTCTGCGGTGTCCAAAGTTGGGAAACGTAACCCGGAAAAGTCTGTATATGTCTGTGCGAACGAAGTATCTCGGCTATAGCTAACTCCAGTCTTGCGATCTGACGATGTATGCTGATGCATCCCTACTCTGAACCTTGTGGGCACCTCGTATCCAGGTACAGCTTCGCCTTGCACTGGACGCCAGCCACGCTGAAATGACGTAGCATCACACGGAACAGACCTACAAATCATTGTCTATGACATTCACAGGGTTCAAGAGTACCTTGGCGGTATTGGAGGATCATAAGTTTCATCTTCAAGCTGTTTCATGTGACGGCTCCTAAGCGGCTTCAAATCCGCTTTCGATTTTCTAAAGGCAGCAAACCGACGACATATGAACGACCATTTCGGTGAAACATTGCAATGCAAAGTGGATTTTGTTATCAGGGTTGAGACCATCCTATCAGTGTCATATCATTGAAAAATATCATACACATTAGCGATTAAATGGCGCTAGATGAATGAATATATTATTAAATATTTGAATTTATTGTTCATACGTGTCGCCATCATACGTGAGCATGGTGGGTGAGTGTAGTATGTACTTTGCATAAGACAGGGTTGTAGCCACACACCATGCTATAAATTTAGCCTTTTACATTATTATTAATTTTAAAATGTAGTAATTCTGCTATTTCAGCAACAGTGCTGCGATAAGTCGTACCTGTCTTGGATTAACGCGTATGTGCGACGTTCGCAATGTCTATTACTATGTGCCAGGCAAAATGTAGATGGGAAGAATGAAGGTGATTGTTATAAGAAAATGGAAATCGTGGCACGTTATTATCCTATGCGCGCCACGCGGCAGCAATAGTATGTGTGTCTAGAAGGCGATGAGGGAAAGAGAGGTGCACTTCGCTGCAATGGGAGTAGCTCAGGTACTATTTAACAGGCTTGTAGCGTAACTGGGTGAAACACACAGAACTGCCCAGTTGCAGAATCTTACTATAAAGTATCGAGAACAATCTGCCGAGTCTGTGCCGCACCCTCAAGCCATATCAGTTTTGTTTAGACCAGTTTTTAAGAATGATGAAGACACACACCTCTGCGTTTGCATTCGTATTCTTTCTGTTGTGCATTCTCAATGTGCAAGCTTCTATTGAAGATTTCGACACTCATCATGGTGACTCGACCCCGTACAGCTACTTCCTCGAAAGTGAGCTGGATGACACCTATGAGAACGAAAATGAGGACAATTTCTATGAACTCATGAACGATGACGTTTTCGGTCACATGAGCCTTATGGACTTTGACGATGAAGAGAGTTTCCTCGAAATCACAGAAGATGACACCGACTTGGATTTCGGAGCCTTCTTCCAAATGGACTCCCCTGAAGATGACGTTGAATCTACAACATTCGAAGACGCCGATGAGAAGTTCGACGACCTCATTGTACTAGATGATGAAGCAATTGAACCAGACCACACTGGATACCAACCCATTAGACAACACAGAAGGGGTGTTTCATGTGACTCTCACAACGGCACTATGAAGGACGCCGCTGTATCTACAGATGACACTACGAACCATGCTTTCGACGAGGTATCTGCTGACGAAGTAAAGGAACTGGACATCGTCCCTCATGGTTTCTTCCGTAAGAATGCATTTGCCATTACTTGCTTCACGATAGTGATCGGCGTAGTTTTGGGTTACGTATTGTACAAACGCGGTTGGTTCACTTACGCTAAAGAATGCGTGACCTCCATTTTCGGAAGTTCACAGGAAAACCAACCAGTCCTACCACAAGTCACAGAGGCAGAACCCCTTGTCAACCATTAATGATTGACGATTCTGCTAGCGGCGAACTGTGTTCGGGTTGGCTTAACCATTTTAGAACGGCTGTAAAATTTTAAACATGGATAATATCATGAACTCGCTTTAATCAAGGTACTTACAAAATAATATTTACATTTATGAAAACAAAATTCTCCTTACTCTCAGGATGCTACAGTCACACACAACCATGATAACTACCATCTGTATATCATGAAATGAGGGTGTGCAACGACCGTCAAACGACTGCATATACTATTTTCTAACATTCATGCACATATTCCTTGTCATATTCTCGATATCAGTCGGTTAATTAACATGTTTGTCGACCCATGGGGAAAACTTAAGCTCAGGGAAGAATGAATATGCATACTTTATATACATATCTCATTATATAATTACTGTTGCCAACATCATTCTTTCTTATAACCTTCTATAACAATGGCTTCTCATTCCGTTGGCACGGGCGCCCAAGCTCACAATTCTGGAGGTTTGTTTTTACAGTATGCCTTTATATATGCACGCAGAACCCACTTTTGTACTTAATGGTGATGTGTGGACAGTCGCTAATCAAAAAAATACCACTATCGACCTTGCTCGCGTCACACGCACGCAGTCTGTTCAGGTCTGTGAATGCTCCGATGTGAAGCTAGTCATACCTACCAAGATTGTGTCACTGTCACTTGTATCTTGTAACAAAGTCGAGGTTGAGATGGATTCTTCTATTTCTGGTATGGAGTTGACCAATTGCCATGGTGTAATGGTTCGCGTTGCAACCAGCCTTCCATCAGCAGCCATCGACAAGTGCCAACAGATAGCATTTTGGATCACCGCTGCTAATGCTGAGACTATAATGTTCACGTCATGCAAATCCGGTGATATGAATGTAAACATCAACCGTAATGCCACCGGTAACGTTGACGAAGACGACTGGATCGAACGTCCTATACCCGAGCATTTCGAACACCGCTTCAACGCTAAACTTACACTCGACAGCAAACCTTCAATGCTCTACTAAGTATATCACGACGAAGTTGCAAACTGACAAAATATTGAAAAATGTTTAATCCACACTGCTTATAATAAGGCTCAGACAGTAAAAATATAATCATGCTAGCATATGTACTGAATTCATGAGTTGATTCGTCATCATCGCCCATCTGTCGCTTTAACGTAGATGGTTGGAACTTTCTAATTCAATGCGTTAGAAAAGAGATGCTGGCATCAAATGGCGATTTTAATAGTGAACTTATTTGATGCCAAATCGGGCCGCACGTTTCAATCGACGGGTCATCTCTTCTTCATCAACCTCAACAGTACCCTCCACTCCCTTGCGCTGTATCATGAATATAATACAAATAGCATTCCTGCTTACCTTTAACAAACGTTCATTCCGACGATTCCTGCGCGCTTCACCATTCCTAACTTGTTGTTGTTGCTGTGGTTGGTTGGTTACAATAGCTCTTCCCGTATTATTGTTGCGGAAATCACGGCCATTGTTACGAAGGGGTTGTCTATTACCATCATGTCTCGATTGGATGTTACCACGCTGATTATTTAAATTGTTATTTCTTGACTTAGGTCGGTTCTGGTTATTTTTGTTGACTTTTGCAGGTGCTGCAGTTGTAGTAGTCGGTGTGAAGTTGAACCTTTTGGCACGCAGCGCTTTCCTTTCTTCCTCACTCAACAACCTCACATCTACAGGAGCTGCATCAAATATGTATATCTTGTAAAACGGGGGTTAAAGCTTACCTTTTGGTTGTTCTGAAGTTGAAATCTCCTCTTGGATCTCCTTGACGGTTACCTCATCATTGGCAACTCTTTCTGAACTCACGGGGCTGCCACGAATGCTTACACCCTCCGGGCTCTCTGAGGTATCCGCCTTACTCTCGGTCTTATCGGTTTCAGAAGCTGGCGCTGAGGAATCAGAGTTTTTTGGTTGGCGCAGCAAGGCAGGATCCCGGCCCATGCCAGATGTGTTGTTCGTCGACAGTGGAGCTTCAAACTCTTCACTATTGCTAAGCAGACGATTAATGAGTTCCTCCTACGATACATGCATTGAGGCTATTGTTACACTACCTTTTTGCCAGTGGTCTTCATGTTACGTTCAAGCAGGAGCGCCTTAAGCTCCGCTATGGTCATCCGTCTAAGACCCTCTTCTTCCATTGCGATACACAAAAAAATAATTTACACCTTAATTTATCAAATTTGTTTCTCCTTACGAGAGAAGAATAAGGCCCTGTAAAGGGCGCTTAAAGCGACATAGGGTATCAGCACCATCCATGACAGCAAACAAAGGATGATATAACCCAGAGTAATGCGCCAAAGTGGTCCTCTACACTTGACAATACGTGTGTTTTTAAAGAACGTATCTTTCTTGGCGTCGATATTTCTGTATGGCTCTCGAGGGTCACGTGTTACATCGTTTGAGAATCCATCAACAAATTTTCCATTCACGTCGAACAGTTTGGCCGACCATTTCAACGCGTCTGCGTATTTGTGTGTTACAGTGGCGCTATACCTACCATGTTTAGCATCATACTCGAACTCCAGCCCGCCGAAGTTGTTGAACATATAAGCGGTAGGCTTAGTGAAGTAGATGGTCATAGCTAGTGGGCGATAACGTGATTTAGCACCCTCTAGGAACGAATGTGTAAGGCTGCTGGAGGTTATTTCAACCACTCCCTGCATTTTATCAGTAACCATGTTCAAGATAAACTTACATCCTTTACATCAACCTCGCCATAATGTACATCCCCTGAAATGAATATTGGGTTTTTAGGCTTTGTTGCCATGAGCAACTGAACTAGCCTATCCTTAGCCACTGGCAATAGTCCCCAGCTTTCAGTAATTGGGTACCTGGTGAATATCTGCATAGATGATACGATCACATGGGCTTCAGCTGTTGATTTGTGTAGCTGACCTTCTAGCCATTTCCATTGTTCTTCACCCAAAGTATCAGCTGGGTGGTTGCAGCCGAACCTATATGATATATTTAGCTTGGTTAGACAAACTATACAAAAATACGCTATAATCGGACAGAAAAGAATAAAAAACAGATATGAGATAACAAAAATAGATGAATGATATTGAACCTAACTTACCCGAATAGGAAGTTCATTGACCTCATGAAGATAAACCTATTTGTATGTACCTTCGCCCATTTACATATACCACATACACAGTAGTAATAGCATTCGCGATGATATCTTACATCTAGAACAATGAGCTTGACTCTCCGCTTCGGCTGCGAAGGATCTTCGAACAACAAGGAGAAATATGCTCCTTTGCGTTTGCGACGATAGTGATCGGCAGGTTTGTCAAAAAAATCCAAAAGATATTTCTGACTATAATCACGGTATTCATATGTTGAATGCCCGTCATTAACACCTGAGTGAATGATGACCACAATGTACTTCAACATACCAAAATCATGGTCGTCATATATGCCATCGATGTGTTTGATAGAACTTGCAAAACCCTGGTACACCGGGGATCTTTTCATCGCATCATATTGTGTCTTCAGACAGTGCGGTTCGCAACATCCATTAGCTGCACATGGCATAATGAAACACATCACTACTTACGCGCATAGACAATGTCGCCTGTATAAAGGAACATATCAGGAGCATATCGCTTGATAGAATTAAAAATATGGCTTGGATTAAGATCAAGTTTCTGGCAACTTCCGAAGGCCAGCTTACTTAGAGTTTCTTCAACGATTTCATCAGGAGGAAGACTACGTAGTTGTGTACGATACTCTTTCTCGTAAGCGGTCAACGCCAGGGCTGCGCGTGCCATGAGCACGCTTAAAAATACTGAATACGGTAGTAATATCATTCTATAATACAATCTCGTAGAACTCCTTTACATAGCACGGTTAATAGCACACAGTTGATGAATAGTCAAGAAATCCGCATTATAAGTGGCATTGCCGCTAGTTATCATAGTTGATTTATTATTTTATGTTTAAAATAAATGTGGTTGGGTAATGTTTTATAAATGCGGTGACACTAATGCGGCCTCTTAATATGTTTCAAGGCATGTCAGCAGTAGCCATCCTTTGGGATGGAAATTGATGATAAACACAAATATTACTGTTTAAAATGTTAATGTGTGTTAAGGTGTAATATTATTTTAAAATTTGTGTCATTGGTATCGATATTACGTGTATTAGTTCATGACTCTTGAACACCATTCTACTCCACGGCCCACAAAGCCGTCGGCCAATCACATATACACGATTCTACAACAGCATGTTACAGCTGCTAAAAAGGCTATGAATCTGTGATATTTGAGAATATAAGCACGATTTACTGTAGTTATAAAACGACAGTCAATGGTGTGAATTTAGCATAGCCGCAAAAATATGGAAAAACACTAGTTTCTCTTTTTCTCATATTTTGCGCGAATGCGGGCTATGAGAAATTTCACCAAAACGCAGAGTGTACCGCCGAAGAGATAAAACGCCATTAGTAGTATAACGCCTTTCGTTTTCGTTTTCATGCATTTTACAATCCGCGTGTCATTTAAAAGTGTCGACGGCTTGTGCTCTACATCACGATAAGGCTCCAGCGGATCACTCGTTCCGTCGTTAAAATGCCGAAATACCACCTTACCCATCTCATCCAATAGTTTAACATCTTGAGTTAAATTACCTATAAATGATAATGCAATCTACAGGCACCCAGCTTACCATTTTTATCATCAACTTCAAAGTCGATGATACCAAAATTGTTGTAGCCGTAAGTCAATTTATCCCACCATGATGCGACTACTGACATGAACAATTTTAATGATGGATACTCCAAGAGAAATGAATGTGTTAAACTACTTGCAGTTAGTTCGATGATACCCTGAGGTAAATTTCGGTCTTTGAAAAATTAATTACTTACATCACCGTCTATGAGCTCTCCCCAGTGAACATCCCCTGATACGAAAATAGTGTTCTTAGGCTTCGTTGCTAATAGTAAATTCACCAACCTATCTTTTGCCTCTGGCAAAAGTCCCCAGCTTTCAGCTATAGGGTAGCGTGTAAAAACCTGCATAGAGGAAACAATTACATGTGACTCCGCGGATGATTCATGCAACTGTCCCTCCAGCCATTTCCACTGTTCCTCACCTAGGACGTCCCCAGGATGGTTACATCCCAATCCTAGGTAATAGTTTACAAGCCGCCTGAAGAAGAAGTTGTACATATACAGGTTCTTCCAAGAGCATCTCTGGCATGTACAATAGTAGAAGCACCCACGGTGGTACCGTACATCAAGTACAATTACTTTTACGCGGTGCTTGGGATTAGCGGGATCTACATATTCCGCTGAAAAATAAGCTCCCTCACGTTTACGCCTATAATGATCCTTTGGCTTATCTAAAAAGTCAAGTAACAGCTGTTGTGATTCCCGTTTATACGGGTAGTTATCATGCCCATCATTTATTCCGAAATCATGATCATCATAGACACCGTCCAAGCGGCGTAGTTGTGATACAAATGACTTGTACACAGGATGTGATTTCACGTAATCATATTCCAATTGGATGCAGTTAGGTGTGCAACAACCATACTCTGTGATTAATGACAAAAGGATTAAAAGATCACCTACTTGGGTAGACAATATCACCGGTGTATAAAAACAAATCAGGACTATGTTCATTTATTACCGGAAATATACGGTTATCACCAAAGTCAAGCTTTTGGCAACTACCAAAAGCTAACCGGCGTAGTGGTTCTTCATATCGTTCGTCTGCCGGCAGGGACTGGAGACGCGTAACATAACGCGATTCGTACTCCGAGACATCACATACAGCGTGTGTGAATACTGCAGGAAACACCCAAAACAATATAGCGATTAATCCCGTCAACATCTCGTATTATCGTGTGGCACTATTACGTACAGTGACTTGAGCGTGAACGGGCCTGCGTGCGCCACATGAAAAAAATGTGTGGAAAATCAATGTGTAAACAATAAACAACATTATACACGTGCTTTGAGTTTGTTACGACGTTCTTTCGCCTTGGCGATACGTTTTTCATTTTCTGCGGCTCGTATATAATTGTAGTCGTCCTTGGAAATGATATCGTTAAGATATAACTCGCGTAGACAGGTGAAGAAAATACCACCACTGGTACGCTTACGCGATCCGTCTGCTGTTAACACACCTCCATTACGTTCGATTTGCATTGTAAGGTCGAACACAGTCTTAGACAGTTCTGGACCTATACGCGTTACACAACGGTATATCTGATCCGCATTCGGTTCTTGCAATGCCACCGCGATTGTCGATGCTAATACGCGATTAATATCATCGACATCTTCCTCGAAGATGTGTAGCGTCTCTTTGAGATATTTACAGAAATCGGAATGGTTTCTGAGCTCTGCCAATTTGTACGGTGTAAGTGACCACACATCTTCTTCGTTCAAAAACGGATGCTTTTCGACCATTAGACGTGCGTTCTCAACCATTCCCGATAATGCCGATGCATGGAATGGAGAACGACCATTCACATCACGTACGTCAACCACAGCACCCTTTTCAAGTAGGAAACGCACATAATCCGTGTTAGGTCTGAACGCTGCATAATGTAGTGGTGTCATGTTGGCAGAGTCTACATCGTTGACGGTTGCACCCTGTGCCAACAACAGTTCCGTGATCTCGATATTACCCTTGATCGCTGCGAAATGTATCGCTGGGGAATATACGTCCATTAATCGCGCTGGAGCACATTTATGCTTCAACAGGGCGAATATATCTGCACCTCCATCTATAAGTACGCGTGCCACATCGGCATAATTCTTTGAGACAGCAATGTGAATAGCTGTCCATCCTTTTTTATCCGCCAAATTCACATTAACACCGCTGGCCAAAAGGTATTCCACACACTTTTCAGCCCCTGCAGCACTAGCATAGTGCAGTGCGCTGCGACCCACTTCGTCAACATGATTGACGTCGACATTCTTTTGAGACTTTAGCAACTCAAGGTCGCCCATGAAAGCTGCACGCAAAAGCTCGATTGGGCTGCCAAGTACAACGCCGGGTGAATGTGGAACATCATCAGCAATTTCGGCCGGAGCTCGCTTATCCGCGATTCGCTCGATGCGCTCTGAGTGTGTGCCTAACCACTCGCCAAGTTTGTCAACACTGGCAACCTCATTGCCATCATTAATGCTGACATTAGTACAGCTGTCTACAAAGCGGTATATGCTGAAATTCAATTGTTCCTCTGCAGATGCTAGACCACCAAGGTATGCCATTTCCTCTGCTTCTAGTACATTGTTGGGTGTAGTTGCAGTACTGAAATCAGGTTTCACAGAATTCGCATCTGTTGTGCTACCCAGCTCAGAATGTGTAGCATCTGTGGGTGAACGATCTGAATTGGTGTCTTCACGTTGTGTTACCAAAACAGGGTGCTGATTGATATCAGTAGCACGTGTTGCATGTTTACCGACGATTTTAACTGCCGTTGCTGCATCTGGGAGTAACGTCTTAACAGTTAAATCATCCTTTTTACCGGATACTTTGTCATGCTTACCCAATATCCATTGACTATTTATATCACCAGGGGTTGTGACGTCATCACGTTTCTTCGAAGGTACAGATTTGGGTAGTACCATCGACCCCGATGATTTTTCGCGTGAAGCGTTACCTTTCTGTCCTTCAGTTTCATTCTTCTTTGCTTGTCTACGATTGGTGGGCGCGGGGCTTGTCTCAACCACATCATCGTCTGCAACTATGATATGATTATTCTCTGTGCCTTTTGAGGCGGCTTTACCTCGGCCTCCCTTAGTATCTCTTGGTGGAATGGAGTTCGTGGCCCCTTCCTTAGCCGCCGACCTGTGTTTGGTTTTAGATGTGCCGCCGCCGCGGGCAACCTTATCCTTATTTACTGTGGATTTTCCGGTGCTGGTTGATGGCACATCAGTTGGTTCTGCGACATTTTCAGGTACTGTGTTAACAGCTGCAGTGGCCGTTGATGATGCATGATTCTGTAGGATCTGGTTAAACGTCATCATGCTTGAGAGGAACAGTTTGCCCATTTCACACAACAGCTGTTCCTGCGAACCGTTTCCAGCATTTGTCTGCACATTCGAAGCTGATAGAGCCTGTGTGAAGTTTGACAGAAGGTTGTTGAAGGAGTCCGTGGTAATACCTGGTTTTTCCTGTGGGATTGCCATATTAGGTTTGGCATCCACGGAAGTTGTGGTTGCCGATGCGACAATGGCCTTATCCACATTTGCATGTGCATTTGACGTTCGTATCTTCACGTCGTGACCCTTTCGTGCCTCATTGCCAACTCGGCCACCCTTTTTAATAGGTTGGCGCTTAGCGGCAGACTTTGCTTCCGTCATAATGGGATACGATATCGACTATTAATTACAAAATGGTCTCTGGAGCGACAGTCCAGCTCACTTGAATAAAGTGCAGCAACATAAAATTAGCCCAAGATCCAACTTTTTATATAAAATGGCGAAGACCAAAATAAAACATGCAAATACCGAGCTGCGTTGTAAGTAACGATGATATATACCAACGTTCCCCAGTTTCCTAGATGAAAACAAACAGGTAAACCTACGTCGTTCCAGTTATCGCATTAGACACAGATTACCACAGTTAGATATCCACAAGTGGATGTGTAAATTTGTAGAAATAACGGGTCACCAATCCCTAACTGTTACCATGAATTATTCCGAATAATTACATGTAACAGTATGCCAACGTACATCCTTGTTTTGTACCAGCGTGGAGAGGACAATGTGCAGGTAAATAAGATACACGGAGTGGCTAGTATATTAATCTAGCGTCAAGTATCTATTGTGAGTTTAATCTACCATACACAACGGCGCTCGTTTCCTCCTCCTTATAACGACGCACACGGCACAGTGTGATGGTCGGTTGGCAAACAGCGGTAACTCCTGTATGAGTCCCAATGCAGCTATTTTGGCGACGCAAGTGCTAGCGCCAAGCTGCCAGAAGCTACCTAAGCTGTTTACACACTAAAATACCCAGGTGCCCGATCCGGACATGGTACACTGTTGGTATGGCTGACATCACTGGACACGTGTGGGGACGTTGAGACCGCGTTTGACGGCACACGCGTATGTAATAGACACGCAAACAACAGACTATAATGATTAACATCAATATTCGACGTCAGATTAAACTTGTCACTACGTTCCTGTGTGCTCGAGCCATATGGTTATGGTTCTCGAGCGTTGACCTCGGCCATTGTGTAAATTTAACACTAGCCCTGCATTAGAGTCATTCAACGCTCTGCAATTCACTACGTATCTCTAGGATATCGAGTACGGTGGCACTATCGGGGAGCCGATGTGTCTTGCGTACTGACACAGTCAGTCGTGGTAATATATCCTTTTCTTCATTTAGGAATAGCGTGAAATCATATGTTCCACTGTCCATGCCGAAGTACATAGCCTTGGTACCGATGTATGCCACTCCCGTAGATGGTTTTAGGTACGTACGCAGAATCGATGTGATGGCACCATAACACTCTTTCCTATAAAGGCATTCACTCGCCACTATTAACGAACACGATCTGTATCTTGCAGACATAACAGCTTTGCTGAGATCTGACATGTGTTCCCAGAAACAAGATACCAATCCGTAGTTTCGGTATATAGGGGTCCCCTTTGACAATCCAGGTTCGGAATCTTTGTCCTTTAATTGCTGTACTATTTTGCGATCTCCAACAACTGCATTTAAGAAACTAGCATATCTGTAATCGTCACCTTCAGTAACTTCCAACGTTACATTACACACATCCATTTCAGGTTTTTCCTCCTCCTTCTTACTCTCAGCTGATGCCTCCTTGGGTTTCTCTAAGGCGCTTTCGGTCTCTGCAGTCTTGTTCTCTTGTTTTTCATCAGGTTGAGATGTGTTATCTGTCAATGCAGCTCGTTCCTTATGTATCAATTTTGCTTTACAGAGACGCAATTGTTTAAATGCCGTATTAAGTAAACAATTGGGAACCACAGTCTCCTCCAGAACATCCCAATTTAAATCTTGAAACAGTACATCATATCCCTTCTGCAGAGCAATAATACCACATAGTCCATTACCGCAACCTGTGAAAGATTATTATTATTATGGTAAAACAGCTGTCTTACCTAAATCTATTGCCAACTCGCCTTCACAAGGCTTCAACTCGGTCTGCAAAAATGTCACTAGTGACCATGTGCTTTCCCAGATAGTGAAACCGCCTTCATATTCTCGAGGTACTATCTGCAAGGGGGTTAGACGTTCACCATTGATGCTGTGAACCTGTATCTAGATACCACAAAAAGACATATAAGCATAACAACTAATATTTTCACAATTGATCCGTATATATACATCATAATCGTACACATACATTTGCCGTGAGCTTCGGAGCAGGGACATCAGCGACACGTAAGATGAGGTTATCATCAGTATGCGACTCTAAATACACACCGCTACTTTTGGCACGTTTGGAGCTAGGGAACCGATTTGCGCGAAATACACCACACGTATTGATGTCAACGCGGAACGCGCGAAACCGATCTAAAAGCTCTTTTAATGGTAAGCTAAGACTTTGCTCCATGTTGACATATAAACTACTATTTATTAAATTAAAAAATATCAATCCTTTTTATATAGTTATCAGCCTGACCTGTCAAAATCGTCACTCTCAGCCGCCCAAGGCGACTTGTCTTCGTCGGGTTTTTCTAACCCATGGCGAGCGTTAACAACGCTAGATGGGATATTTACGTGCATATCCCCCAGAACTAGCTGACTTGGGGAGGGATAATCCCCAGAGTGTATCGGCAATGGTAGTACCGCTTGGGGTGAAGGGACAGAATCTAGAGATTCTTTCTGAAGCAACGTCGCCATCTCAGTTTTGCCGAAAATGATGAACAAACTGTATAGGCAGAAAAACACAGTTAAACTATCTACTAGTATGTCGTAACGCATAAGATGCAATGCCGCCTTTCTTGGTGATATATAATTCCTGTGTGCGTATGTAACGACATCCAAACTCAAATCACTTAGCGACGTTACAGTAGCTTCCCAGCCTCGTGGAGCGCTACGCACACTCATTACAAGACCGAACGTCATGAGGACTTGATGCAGCACTGTAGACAGCACCGCCACTAAGCTAATATACCAGATACTGGATTCCTGTGATGGGACCGGTAATATTCGTGGTCCCCCGCAATTAACCACTAAGCATGCTAGAAATACATATTTCGCGATAACTAGCATCCTATTCAAACTTACATAACGTGCTAAAATACAACTAACAATAACCTTCACCGTCACCGTTAACACAAGCAAGGATATCACAGTGACCGGTTGAAAATCAGATACGCGCAACAATACACAGTCGTATGGGTGACGTACCGCCATAGCCATTATCATGAGTGCTACGAATGCAAATGCCACCTTTGGTGACCAGGAAGTCTTTGCCCGTTTATTCATATCCACGGCTTCCTCGTAGCTACCAGGGTCACATAAAAGTACCCATAGCACACATATGCTATTACCCAGGAGGAAACACGGCACCAGGTTGACTAAGGCCATGAATGAGCTTAAAATATCGGTAGTTCTTGGATAAGGCATGAACACGCTCAGCATGTTCCATACGCCGTAACCGGTAATGAACAACAACCGCAATGATGCGAATTGTACCTCAGAAAGCTCATTATTACATTGCGCATAACGACAAAAAACACCATCACTAACAGCTCCAGATGCTATCTGGCATAATGCAAGTGCAGTAACCAAATACGGCCCACAACCACCACTTAAAGGATGGAGGTACGAGTAGACCATTACCGCGGGTAGCAGTGTTACGATCCCTATATGAGACAGACATAATAGTAGATTGGCATGACGATTAAGATCCACTAATGAATCCATAACACTGCGATTTCTTGCAGATGGTGGCATGGTAGTATCATGAACCCCGTTTATACGACGGCAACAATCTGCAAACAGTTGTAAAATACGATCCATATAATCATCCAGCAGTGCGAATAGTGGCTTTATAAGCCACAAGGATGGCAGCCAATATACAAATGCTGGAGAAAATGAGATATCTCCATCAGGATGTGACGCAACAAGTAATCCTACATAACACGTGTGGAGAAGATATAAAGCTTCAGATTTAAAAAGCAAAGTAAGAAGGGAATATGACTTTAATTTCCTTCCATTTATACCATAACTTTGACAGATTCCATCAAAAAAACCACAAGAGCATGGCCAAAGTCGCCGCGCCTCTTCACGCGGTGACGATGAATCTGAACCTCCAAGATCCATTTCACATGACCATTTAAACCTTCAGAGCTTATGCTCACGTTATAATGTATGCGATGTGTGGCCGATAGTCGGCAAAGTATGGAATCTTAACAACGCGGTGGGGTCAGGGGTGTGCAATGTCTAATATTATAAAATTAGTCCTCTATCGGCTCCTTCTCCGGTTCCAATGACACCAACTCATCAATACGGAGTATGGTCACAGCAGCTTCAGTTGCAAATTTAATCGATTTAATCTTGCTAATGGTTGCTTCCAAGATTCCAGCAGTTAAATTGTTACGCAACTCGCCATCAGCAAGACTGATACCATACCACTTGTAATCCTCCTCTTCCGGCTTCAAAGGACCCTCTGACTGTGCTTTGGCATGTACCGCACGCAACTTAGACACCAATTCAGTGGCATCTAGGGCTGCGTTAAGCGCCAAGGTCTTGGGAATGACAAGCAACGCTTCAGCAAATTCAGATATAGCCATTTGTTCCCTTGAACCCTGAACAGATATATACACACAATAAGATACAGACCACAACGATATATCAATACAAAGGAGGTGTATAACCTACCAGAGTGCGCGAGAAACGTTCTAGATGGAGCGATAATGCCGTCTCCACACATCCACCACCCGGTACTAACGAATCCTTCTCTAGTGCGCGGCTAACAGCGCAAAGTGCATCATGGATGGATCGCTCAGCTTCATCGACCAAGTAGTCGTTAGCTCCCCTGAGGATTATCGTAGCTGCACGTGAAGTTGCACAACCCTCGAAGAAAGTGAAGTCCACATCACCAACACGCTGCTCATATACCTTCTCACAGCTACCTAGGGATTCCTCCGGGAAAGCCTCATCACCTTCAAAGGTTGACATTGTCAACACCAGTTTACCTGCAAATGTGGTAATCATTGTGTTAAGTACAAACCTCCAGTAAGTTTAGCAATACGACGCAGATCCTTCCTCGATACACGGCGATATGCCATCACTCCTGCTTCCAAGAAGTATTTAAGAGACATGTCGTCGATCCCTTGTGACGTCAACACTACATTAGCACCACTCTTGAGTATCTTTTGTACACGCTCTTTAGTCACATTTTTCTCTTTCAAACGTATCTGTTCCAATTCCTGTGGGTCATTAATCTGAACTTGTACTCCGAAATGTAATCTGTAATGCCTAAGCGGGAAATCAAGGAAGGCGATCTTCGCTTTGGCAATGTCTATTGGCATCCCTTGTGCCGCGCGGCCCATCATTATAGAGTATCCGTTTACCAAGAAGGAGTCACGTGTGCTTTTTCCATGTGTTTTCAAGATATTGATCGCGTCTACTGGGAACCTACGATTACCAATGTCATCAGACGTCTCCACTGAACGTATAGCTTTGACTACCATCTGCGCAAAGTATTCCAAGTTCACACAGATCATTTTAGATGACAGGGTGGTACGCGCGATACTTGTAGCGACATCATCACCTAACTCGCTCATACGCTTGCTAAGGTGCTCTTTAATATATTTGACACATTCCTTGATGGCCATCTTGTACCCAGCGATGATGGAGGTTGGGTGTATTCCAGAGTTTGCCAAGTCATTGGCTCGGCGTAAAAGCTCGACTGCGAGCAATACTACAGAGGTAGTACCGTCTCCAACTTCCTGGTCCTGCAACTCACTTAGGTCCACCAGCATCTTGGCGGCAGGATGCTCTATCTCCAGCTGCTTGAGTATGGTTGCGCCATCATTGGAGATGGTCACATCACCAACATCATCCACCAACATTTTATCGAGGCCTTTAGGGCCGAGGCTGGAGCGTAAAACATTTGCGATGGCTTGTACGGCCGTCACTACGAAGAATGAACTGTGTACATAGATAACATACCATTACGCATCCGAACCTCTTTGCCCGTTATGCGTTCTCCCAGGATTCCTAAAGACATTTTGACGCACAATTGAAATCCACCAATCTGGTGTGTATAGGAACTTGTACTGCCAACGCCGCGCCGTACGCCTACTGTCGTTACCACCGGACGAGCACCACCACGACGGGCGTCTATAATACAGAAAATAGACGTCGGCGTAAAATTTCTATTATTTTAGAGAAACATTGAAGGCTATGAGAGATAGTAAAGTTATCAGTGTAGTCACCAAATGACCATAGAATGGAACCATGGTTCATCGCGTCTCAGCGACGACGCGCCGATTATTCTGAAACACACTCCACTATTTTTATTATTATACAGAGAAACAAGATGTAATATAGTGACAGACATTCTCTTCCGATGTCTATTGGCCAGTAAACCACGTAGATAAGGGCCATGTGCCTTCTAGGTGTTACCCGCTGTAATCACATACACCAGAAGAGGTGTAAACGGGTTACTAAACACATATATTGGCTTTTGATTTTATAATTTGGGACAGTAATGAAATTTGGGGTACCAGTACGGTTGCGCAATAGAATAAATAACTGCTTGTAGAAACGTGACTGAGCCAGAGTCCTTGGAAACTCCTTTTTAAAACATATGGAATTTACAGAACTGACATGTGGCAAGATTCTTATGAAGTCGACTGCCTTCTCAGCCTTACAAATGAACCCACACAGCAGTGGGGAGCCATTTTAATCAGTGCAAGTTTGCCGCGCGTTTCCGGACGCTACAATATAATATGATGACACGCAGACGGGCGATCTATAAGCTGCCATAGCAGCTATGCAGATGTCTATGACTGATTACACACTAAAGTGGTACTGGGTTTCAATGGCCCAGGCCATAGCGGTTTTTTTGCTTGCTATATCCACATATATATCGTAGAAAACTCTAAAGAAACTTTAATATCAATAACACCGTAGTATATCTATTTCATCTATATCGCTGTGTTTCACGTTTCCAGCCATCAGGAGGACCACCCTCGCTAAAACTTCATTCACGCCACGTATAATCACATCAAACGACCAATATGATGAAACTCTTACGGACTGGAGTGTATGACTCTATGATTCAAAATTAGATTCTGAATTGGTCGCCTAATGGCATGGGCATAAACATGGCATCTTGGCAGGAGGAACCTCCTCTAACTGCTTAGGATCGTTACTCTTGTAGTAATTACCAGTAACATTATCACTAGCAGCCACGTTCTTCACAGGGACATTCAGCCCGCGCCATGGAGCTGAAAATATAGTTATAGACACTAAACGGTAACTTACAAACGCCACAGTTATACTTGGACTTGTATAACACAAACATGACTATCCCGCTCAGCAGGTATAGTATTGCTGTACCCATTACGATGAACTCGAATACTGGCGCAGAGGTTCCCAGGAATCCAGGCTTAGCAATGACGACATACTTGTGCGCTAACCACTTTTTAGCAGGCCACAGATTACTTGTAACATGTAGGTAGTATGTACCTGCAGGCAAAGGCTGGTTCAACACAGCGTATGGTTTCAAAAACGTAGAGTCATAAGGTAACTGGATCCAGTTCCTTAACATGATATTCGAAAGGTCTATCCACAAGAACCCTTTATCGGAGCTTGGCTTCCTTTGCTGAATAGCGGTGTAATCAACACAAAATGCAGGCTTACGCTGATATGGTAAAACCCGTAATCGTAGCTTGGTATCTCCATCGATAGCGGCAGGCAACGATGTTCACTATTTGACAAAGTGAGACCATCGAAACGGGGCACATTAATCAATGCGGCCGATACTTCTTCGGGACATACAGCAAAATTGTCTGTCATTATAGTTGCTGATATCGCACCACAAGGGTAAGCAGGCTTCTGAAAAGCCGGCTCAGTATCCTTAATCTCACACCAATGATCCCTCCCATTAAGGGTGTTCTTGTTGTCTATGCAACGAAGATCAAGGATCTCCTTGAATGTGTTAAACACTGTACAATGTTAATAATATACACAATCGACCTACTTTTGCATCTACCACTGGTGATACTTGACGGGCTCGATTCGTACGCCACCCTTTTGTGCGTGGCATAGAAATCGGTAATCTTGTAGTAGAAATATACTGGAGCTTCCAATCGAGACTCTATAGTGAACTCTATGGGTTGATTATTGTAATCAGTATACTCTATCTCCTTAACATATGACCTCCAGGAGGAGACTAATACAGCAGCACCTAGTATGAACAAAAGAGTGCCAAACAGTGTGAAGACAAAAACACCACCTAGAGGAGTATACAACCGATAAATGTTATTATTCCGTGTAAAATCCATCTGGCGATATCGATCTACACGAGTTCGATCATCTTGCTGACTATTAGTTCGAGATGGCAACCAAAGATACTCAGGTTCAACATTATACTCTGGCTCGCCAGCATCACCCGAGGAATGACGATTACCATGTGGTTGTTGAACATGTGGTAAAACCAATCTTTGTGCGTGTGATGATGAAGTGTGTACTCTATCTGACGTGGCGAATAAAACGCTCTTACGAAACGTTTCGTCGTTTACGTCAGACACTTGAATCTTTGAATTATCCATCCCCGAACCAGCATCACTTATCATTAAACCAGACAAAAAACAACTGCTAATACAAAAAAAGCAGTTACATAGTCATCGCTAATACACTCAGTATATGGGATACTAGACCCCTAATAATGTGTGAAACAATTCAGCGAATATACCGTTAAAAATACACATCGGTATAAACAAACATACAATTTATAACTATCAAAGTGTGAGATGATGTTTACCAATCATGACACACGCCAGATACCACGAGTGTGCCGAAATAGTGATCTACATAAATACACACTAATAATTCAAATATATTAAACCCATCAGTTCTGTTCTTCAAATGGGTTTGGTGAAAACGGATCCTGAGGAGAATACTCAGGACTCGTTGGTGAATATGCCGGACTCGTAGGAGAGTATGCCGGGCTTGTTGGTGAATAAGCCGGACTAGTAGGCGAGTACGCTGGACTAGTCGGTGAATATGCAGGACTTGAAGGCCTGTAGACAGGACTGGTCGGCGAATAACCCAGATTGGGGCTTGTAGGCGAATACGCGGGGCTTGTTGGTGAATACGCCGGACTCGTAGGTGAATAAGCCGGACTCGTAGGTGAATAAGCCGGACTCGTAGGTGAATAAGCCGGACTAGTTGGTGAATAAGCCGGACTAGTTGGTGAATAAGCCGGACTCGTAGGTGAATAGGCCGGGCTAGTTGGCGAATACGCCGGACTAGTTGGCGAATAGACCGGACTTGTCGGTGAATAGACCGGACTTGTCGGTGAATAAGCCGGACTCGTAGGTGAATAAGCCGGGCTAGTTGGCGAATACACAGGGCTAGTTGGCGAATACGCCGGACTAGTTGGCGAATAGACCGGACTTGTCGGTGAATAAACCGGACTTGTCGGTGAATAAACCGGGCTTGTCGGTGAATACACCGGGCTTGTCGGTGAATACACCGGGCTTGTTGGTGAATACACCGGGCTTGTTGGTGAATAGACCGGACTTGTCGGTGAATAGACCGGACTTGTCGGTGAATAAGCCGGACTCGTAGGTGAATAAGCCGGGCTTGTAGGTGACATCATTCCCATTGACGGTGATAATGGGTTTGGTGACAGCGGGTTAGGTGATAATGGCGCATAACTTGGACTTGCAGGTGATTGTGGAGACATTATCGTAGGCGAGAAGCTACCACCAAGCGCCTTAGTGTCAACAGCCGGAGATACAGCCATAGTTGGTGAACCTGCGGCCAGGATTGGCGACATCATTAAGGCCGCATATGACGGACTAAACGGTAGTGGCGATAACATTGAATTGATCTTTGCTGGAGACATTGACTCTGGACTTGTAGAGTCGGGGCTCGTGAATCCAGACATCGCAGAATCAGGGACAATCTGTAGATTCTGGTTAGCATCACGAAGCTTCTCCTCGTCAATCATAATGTCGAAACAACCAGTACCCATGGGACACAGTTGACCCAACATCACATTCTCGGTCACACCTTTGAGATTATCCAATTCAGCATATATCGCAGCATCCACTAGTGCCTCCAAAGTCTCCTCAAAACTACATTTCACCATCGGTCCACGGTCAGCACGGTTAAGACCATGACGAGTAATCGACATAATGTGGCCCTTTTGTGTCATCACGTCACACAATAACGATAGATGTCGATAGTTCACGTAACTACCGTCGAAACTAATAACCGCCCTGAGCTCACGAAGAAGCGCCATACGAGCAGCTTCAATGCCCAAAACGTGGAAAATCTCACTGATGTCGTTAGATATTGAACGTTGCGCATCAACACAGGGGATAGATAGGACATCCTCCAGGTTACAACCATCGGTATCCAGTACCCAGTGACTCACACGTTCGAACCTGCCATTAGTCTCGTTATACTTGGTCTTAGCTTCTTCACGCATATACACCTTGGAAATTTTAGGCACACCACGCAATTTCACATTCACCAAAACCTGCGACATGAACCTTTGTAAGAACTCCCCTTCATTCTCACCCAAGTTCTGTTGATCCACCTCCATATTAGAATATTTTACACGGATACGGAGCACCAACTCATCGTTGTTATCATCAGTATTGATGCAGTCAATTTCATCATTACTGAACTCCTGGTAGATCCTGTCTACAATCTCCTTCATAGTTAGACGTTTATCAGTCATAACCTTGTTAGATAGCTGGATGCGCAGCACCCAGGGACCTAAACGACTCATATCGTCATCAGGGAACTCGTAATATTCCCTTACCCACGCATAGTCTTTAGGTACAATTGTATGCGATACGTTGGGGTCATAGATGACCTGTGATAATGCAACAACCTTGTCCAAAGTGGTATACTCTAAACGTGTTTGCATATCCTTAGCACGTTCCTGGTCATGCGCAACACCGCGTTCCAAGTGGATAGTTAATGAAGGAGTCTTAACATTGCGTACCACGTTAATCAATTCCTTCAGACGAGGCAGACCAAGGGTAACGTTCTTAGAACTCACACCGGCAAAGTGGAACGTGTTCAAAGTCATTTGAGTGGCAGGCTCACCAATAGATTGCGCAGCCACAGCACCCACACATTCACCAGGATGACAAATTGATTTATAGAATATACGTTTTACTTCACCTAAAAGCCAATCAAACGCAAGATTACCGATCTTCTCACGTTCCATCAAACGACGTGAATTTAGCGCCGTTGACAGATGCGCTTTAATCAAAATTGTGGCATTCTCTTGAGCTTCTGCCGCTAGGATATCCTGAGGACCACTAGTAACCACGATGGTCAAACCATCTAAAAGTTGCTGTACCCGCTGTGCAATATCCACAGGGTTCATCATCTTCCTGCTTTCTGCAGTTGTCGGGAATTGGGTCTTGGCATACTCAAGTAAACGTGAAATATTGATCGGCAGATGCTGACGAGAATCACCATCAGGGAAAACTTGTTTACATAATATAGCTTTCATATCAAGTAGACGTTGGTACTCTTCTACCAACACCACTTGTTGGCTGAAATCGGTCAAAATGATAGATCTGATATTTTCATCTAAAATCCATCCTACACCATAATTTTCGTTACGGAAATCATGTGCATATAACCGATTTAAGTCTGCAAAATCGAGTTTCATGAGGTCTAGCGTCTGGTCCTCGATGTACTCTGCACCCATGCCATCTTCACCGTAAAGAAACTGTAAAATATCACCACTACCACTACGCACAGTCTTGTCATAATGTACCATGATGTCTTCCATGGCTTTCATTAGACGACGTTGCACATAACCCGTCTCAGAGGTCTTACACGCCGTATCAATGATACCTTCGCGTCCACCCATAGCATGGAAAAACATTTCCTGCGGTGTTAAACCAGATAGGTATGAATTAGACACGAACCCACGACTCTCAGGGCCATAATCATGTTTGATAAAGTGAGGAAGAGAACGGTCGCGAAAGCCAAAAGGCACACGCTTACCTTCTACATTTTGTTGACCTACACATGCGATAATTTGAGATATATTAATCGTGGAACCTTTAGAACCGCTATTTACCATGGCCAAGATATTGTTGCGCTCGTCCAGACTCTTGGCGGCAATAGTACCACTTTGTTCTCTGGCTTCGTTAAGCTCCTTGTTAACACGAGCCTCGAAAGATTCAAATAGTGATTTACCGGGTTGGCATTTCAGCTTACCCTTTTGGGCCAAACCTACAAGGCGTTGGACCTCTCTCTTTGATCGGTCCAAAATGTCAGCCACTTGGGCCAAAGTTGACTCACTGGCCATGATATCTGAACAGGATACTGTAAATCCATTGTGGATCAACCAGGTGTTTACAACTTTTTGTACCGTAGACAAAAAGTCCTTGCAACGTTCGGGCCCTGCCTCATGCCATAGCACGTGGATTAGGGACCCGGAACTTGTACCAACAGTTTTCTTGCAAATGACGCCGGATAAATGCTCATTCTTACTGATGATGACTTTAGAATCGTTCACCGAACAATAAGGGTTGTCGTTATCGATGGATATTCCAGAATTTCGCATCAAGTTGATACATGTTAGCGAATTCATGTGATCGAACGTCAACATAATTGTTACTACCTGTTTACCCGTCCAGAGAGGTACTGGATGGAAAATACAGGGCTGTGGAAGCTTGCCATCCCAATAAGGAATCCACATCAACAGGTTCATTAGCATATCTTTCGTCAAGAAACAGTCCCTTCTTGTAAACTTGCTGATACCTAATAAGGAATCTTGCACGATACCCATAACAGGACGATTACCCTGTGGTGATACAATTTGCTTGGGTACTAACATGAGATGTTTTACTTCAGCACGTGTTTCATGTGTCTGTGCTAAATGGAGGTTCATTTCATCTCCATCGAAATCTGCGTTATAGGGTGATGTGACAGACAAGTTCAGTCGAAATGTTGAGTACGGTAGAACCTTACACCTGTGGCCCATAATACTCATTTTATGTAGTGAAGGTTGCCTGTTAAAAAGAATGTAGTCACCATCTTGTAGATGACGCTCAACGCGATAACCGTACTCTAACTGAAGATCACTAGCACGTTTTACATGACGTAAATCGAACCTTGTACCATCGTCTCGTACAATAAATTTTGCACCGGGCCATTCATGTGGTCCCATTTCTACTTTCTTTCGTAGACTTTCGAAATTCAGCGGCGTAACAGTTTCGCTAAAGGTCAATGTCATTGCGATAGATTTGGGAACACCAATAATATCTATTGGTAAGTTGGGGTCACCCGTAATGACGGTACGAGCTGAGAAATCAACACGCTTACCCATTAGGTTCCCTCGCAATCTACCATCTTTACCTTTCAGACGCGCACGTATAGACTTGATTGGTTTTTTAGAGCGCGTAGATGCCACAGGCATTCCCGGAATATCATTATCGAATAGAGTAGTGATATGATATTGTAGTAATTGTGATATTTCTTCAATGATATGTGGTGCCGTTGCACGCTCATCATGCTTTTTCAACATATTGTTGGACTTCACTATATCAAGAAGCTTCAATGTCAAATCGTCTTCACTTCTGTCGCTACCATACGCGACATACGGCCGTACTGGTGGTGGCGGGACAGGTAGTACCTTCAGTATCATCCATGCTGGTTGCGATCGTTCAGGGTTGAATCCCAGATACCGCATATCATCATGAGATATCCCTTTTAGTACTTTATAAGCTTCTTCAGCGCTGAATGTACGCTTTATTTCTTCACATTCCTCTTCTACCTCCTCTAGCATCTGGCGATGTTTTTCCGAGAACTGTATCATCAAGGTAGTGCCTTCTTTGCTATATCGTGGCTGTGGGTAACCACAGCCCTTTGTTTTCGAACCAGCCACAGTGGCATGCTGGCAACGCTGAGAAGTTACACATATGTCTACCAATCTACTCAGTCGTATCGATGTTGCCCTTAGTTTCATGAGATTCTTTACCCTTGGATCCTCCTTATCACATAACAAGCTACTGCAATTGAAACATATACATCGCAATACTTTCATAACCGCATTGATGAAGCTACAATGATACATAGCTTTTGACAATGTGATGTGGCCAAAATGGCCTGTACAATATTTAAGGTCCATAAAACATGTTAAGCAGTTGTAACGTGCATCCGTAGTTCCCATACGAAGATCATTTAATCCACCAGTATTTGGTACACCATCACGATAGAAGTCTGTTTGTGTTACCTCACATACCGATAGTCTCTTCAACATCTCTGGGTCAAAGATACCGAACTCTATCCCGCGTACCTTCTTTAGGTCGCAAGGTGAATATGGTTTATTTAAATCCGCCACCGTCGTCATCTTGCTTATATATTTGCGATATTTGAAGGCCTATTGTTGGATGTTTTGACTTAGACCACGGTAAACAACATGACAGTATAGAAACAGGGAACCTCCACCTTAATCAATAGCCCCCTGGTATAACTAGAAACCGACAGTACGTACGGAACTGAACAAACCAGGGGAATTAGAAATGTGGAAGATAAAGGCATAAAACGGCCCAACCTGCCGCGGGAACCTTATTGACCGCGGTGGGCTGGCCGCACTAGGAGGGGGAAGGTAGCATGAATACCATATTATTTTCATATAATTGCTTATGTGACATTTTCTCATCGATGTGTAACTGGGAATACATACTACTCGATATGGTGTCGATATCACCTTTGAGATAGCCTCTGTCATTGAATATTGTTCGCGCGTCTGAACGCTAGAGACACATGACACTGTTACATTATTTTGACTATTAATAGTTGTTTATAAGGCGGGACGATTGTAATTTGGTTCCTCAGCTGTGGTTTCTTCGCATGGACTGGCATCCGCTGGCGACAAAGTTTGGCCTCCTACAGTCTCGGACGTTGACGGGGTATGGCTCAACGACTTGTATAGTGTAACTGCCTGTGTGACCATGTCGTTTATCCGTCCTACATTTGCAGGTAACACTACAGTGTTACTCTGCTTAGCCAGGTTAGAGAAGGCAGCAATATACTTCTCAGCCAACCTAAGTGACACAGCATCCACCGTACCTGCAACTCTATGTTTATCATAAAAATCAACTTACCCGTTTCTCTTAGAGTGCGTGTGATTTTGTTTAAAGCGTAAGCTGTCGCATCAGCACGTTCACGCTCAGCAATGGCCTCTCCCTCCGCCTTTAGTATAGATAGTTGACGTTGCGATATAGCCATATTAATCTCACTTTCCTTATCACCTTCACTACGTAATATCAAAGCTCGCTTAGCACGTTCCGCTTCCACCTAAACATTTTTAATGGGTTTTCTACAGAACGTACCTGACGTTCCATTGCCGCAACTATGGTTTTGGGTAGAGTTATATCACGTATCTCATAACGCATACACACCATACCCCAATTGCTTGCAGCTGTGTTTATAGCTTCTACAATTTTCTGGTTGAGATTGTCACGTTCCAGAAATGTAGTATCCAGTGAGAGTTTACCGAGCTCCGACCTCATAGTAGTCTGTGCCATTTGGGTCATGGCAAAAATAGGATCCTCAATGCCATAGGACGCATGGTAAGGGTCAACACACTTTATGTAGAGCACTCCGTCTATCTGTAGAATCACATTATCCTTGGTGATGGCCGTCTGATTAGGCAGCACAATAGCATCTTCCTTAAGCGAGTGTACATACGAGATCCTGTCGATAACCGGTATTAGGATGTGCACACCAGCTCCTATAGTACGGTTAAACTTGCCGAATCTACAATAATATTAGCATATTCAGTGGGTACCAACCTTTCAATCACATAGACAGTCTGTTGAGGTACTACCACTAGACCCATATGCGAACGTGCTGATGCCTTTTGGGTCATATAGTTGATCGTAGTATGATATCGAGCAGTAGCCGGGCACAGCAATCTCGGTATTCGCTGGACCGCCATAATGGCGGCCGGAGCGAGTTGAAATGTAGATGCATAACGTTTAGGTGACCATATTGAGCATCCATACAGGATTTTATAGTTATTTATCAATTGTTGCGATCTTATAGCTCTACCAATAGATTTCATTCCGGTAATAAAGTGACAACTAACCTTCACTTGGCTGAGGGACATTGGGCATCAATGTTGCCATCCAATTGTCCAAAGCCCTTTACACATCTGATAGAAAAACACTTTTTCACTTACTCGCTAATCTTACTATAGTCAAACTCTGTAAATTTTTTATAATTTGGATACCAGTCACCTACTTCCACCCTGGGCCTCGAGAGTAGATAAAATCTCTTCTAGTAATGTGGTAGGAGTCTTCTCCTTCTCAACTTCTCCGGATCCTAACACCTGTTTCTTCATATCTGCTGCCAGCTTCGCAACGACTACACAAAATTTCACACCAGAGACGACGTAGACTTACTTGAGATCATTTTAGCGCTAGCAGGGCCAACCAAAGATTCGATTCTTTTCAACACATCCTTTCCTATACACTGTGTATCATCGCAATATGGTGTATACCATGATCGTCCAGTGCGTCTGTATTCTCGGTATCGATACCTATGATCCATTATTTATCGGTGATACACACTTACCAGCCATCTGGAAGAGTGAAGCTATCTCTTCCAATCGTTCCTCTTGGAATTGTGAACTACGAGGCGCCGAATCATGTTTAGGCAAAATATCATCCGTAGAAAACTTCTCCCTTGACTCGTTCTGTGATATCGCAACGTTCACGGCAAAGGAGACAGCTCTCGTCAATATGACACTGATTGACAGAAAAATGAGATTCATTTTTACAAGTTATAGTTTGTGGTGAATAATGTGTGAGCTTGGTGTTATACGCCGGCCAATAATGTGGCAATGTGGGTCCTTTAGAGATCACTCTCGGATATCACTACGTGGAAGAGACACTAGATAATGGCACATCGGGATAAATGAACCATCCTACAAGTAAAGCATTGAAATGTTAACATTTTTTGTGGCAAGTTAAATCATTTCTTTCACTACTGCTCTTTGTATACTGCAGTGTCTAACACTCGTGCACAGTTTAGGTGATAACAAATGTTTATCTAATGATACCATAGGCTCAAGGGTGATTTTAAAGTGCCATGTGGCCTGTATATATAGCTATACACAAAAACATTGACATTAAGATAGTTTTGTCGTTTCTTATGAATAGTCACTGGAGAGTGAGTTCACGCACGACTCTTGCGCAATGCATCCTGCCTAGCCTTAGCCATAGCAGCCTTCTTAGCTTCAAATTCCTCTTGCATACGTTGTTTTTCAAGGAGCTCGGTCTTCCTACGTTCAGCAGCCTCCAATCTTATACGTTCCGCCTGTGCTTCACGGGCCTTCTTAGCAGCGAGTACACGTGCTTTTTCAGCAGCTACAACTTCAGATCTGTGCATTTGTGCAGATATCTTGTTTTGCAATGCTCCTTCCTTGAGTTTCTGTGTCGCGGTACGTGCCTTGCTGGACATCTCTTCAACCTTGCTAGCGGCAAGTTTCGCAGCCTGACCCTTTACAGTTATAGGTATCTTTTCTATATCCTCTACTTTGAATTTATTAGCGGTCTTAATAACATAAGCTGGTACAGAAGCCTTTGCCTCCCATTGTAGTTTCTTAGTCTTGGCAACGCTGGTGGTAGTGGCCTTGCTCTTTGGTAACAAACTACCAGATACATCGACCTGGTCTTCTTCACCTGATAGAGTGTCATTAAGTTCTTCAGATTTCGACTCTTGGCTCGTATTAAGTGGATCAATATCATCAGCATCTACAACATCCTGTCCTGTTACTACTTCCTGGCCCTCCGTTTCTACAGTTTCTTCCCTCCCTACCTCTTCTCCGGTTGGAGTAGGTGTAGGTGTTGGTGCATCTTCTGCGACCTCACATGCCTCTTCACCTTCTACTACTTCAGAAATCTGGTCTTCCTCCACGGCTTGTGGAACCTCGATCTCCTCTACGGTATCGGGTGCATCCACTTCCTCAACTTCGACCTTAGACTCTTCAGTAACTTCAACTACTTCGGGCATTTCCTCTTTTTCTCCTTCTTCAACTACTGGTGCTTCAGTAACTTCAGGTTTTACTTCGGTAGTGATTACATCCGACGTCATGTCATCATCTTGAACGAGCTGAGTAGATGGGTCACATGTGCAGCAGCACTTTTGTGTCGCGCACTCATCTTCAAAACTATCTTCTCCTGGGCTAGCATAACCCGAGTCAACAAACACTTCACCATCGAAATCCTCAATTAATTGATCATCAGAAAAGTGGCCGTAACTTTGTGCAACACGGTCCATTGTTAAAAGAGTTATCAAAATATTCAAAAAGGTTACAATACTGATCTAAGCGAATAATGCCAGAACGTGAGAGATAGTGTATGGTTGCAATATTATGTGCGGAGTGTCTAAGCGAAATGAGACTTGTGGACACGAGACGCAATGCCCTGTTTGTCCCCTTTATCAGATCTTGTATAGGCGTCGCTTAGAGAGACTCATGCGACACGTATATACGTTAGATCTCGACTTGTTTGACACTTTGATGTTAACCAAAGATGTCAGTATGGGATATATAGGTAGAGACATTTTGTCTGGTTTATAAGGAGAAACAACAGAAAGGGATGAGACGGGCTCCAGTCGACCTCTACCAAAATATTTTAACATATAATATTATTGGCAGAGACACTCTGTTGTTGTATTATCAGCTATGTTTGATATATGAACAGTGATATATGTGCTCAATATCAGTGTATGAAGTGGACTTGTTATTGCGTACTCCAACATAAGCTTATAAGGCCATTGCACAGAATACAAAATATAAAATTATGCAATATATTATTTCACAACTGCGGTACCGCTCGTAGCACTATCGCTGGTGTTAACTGGGTGGTTTGACCTGCGGACGCATCCGATGAGTGTGATAATATCACTATCTAGCGCTGGGAATAGTTATTCCCAGCACGGTAAAGATAAATCTAGACATTTTGTCCTGATTATAATGGTGGAGGTACCAAATTGTGATAGTAGTATCGCAGAAGCCTCTGTAACATTACCGAACCACGATGCCGAGACGTTGGTCATATTGGCTTACAACGTCCCGGTAGAATACCAATTAACTAACTTTGAAAATCTGCTATCAGCACACATCTCAGATATTAGTAAGGTAACCATTATTCCACCTTTCTCGTGGCAGGACCGTGTGGACTCCGCTTGGAAGATTGTCTGTCAAGATCGTAATATTCATGAATCCATTTTGAAGCTGGAATCAGTTTTAGTAAAACTGAATGGTATCCATAGTACGCCACAATCAATTGCCTTTGTCGCAGGAGACGAATATGACCTTCCGAGTATACCGTTCAGGGAAGATGAGAAATCGATTATGCTTGAACGTCCAAGATTGAGAACATCCAAGCGTTAATTGCGGCATGAGCTATTTTGCCTTGGTGTTCATTGTATGAACGCATGTGGCCACACATCACGCTAGGGTTATACCGCGTACACACCGCTGTTGTACGCTGTGTAGACCGCCATACACACTCTCACTAAAATAATATATACACATCACAAAAATATGTACACATAAACTCTTAATTAATGTATTATAATTATGTTTTATTTGCGAAGATACATATTTATTTATCTTGTTGGATGTGCATGTCTGATATTCTGGTCCACCCATGAACAACGCATAAACTATGATTGATGAAGCTATTAGTGGTTTTGTTGTTGTCTGCCTCTCTGTGTTCAGCAGTTGAGCGGCGTAACAACTCACTTGTGAGTACCGTTGTAAGACTGGTTACACAAAGGTCTGAGTACAAGCAAGGCAATGCTGAAAATGCACGTGTTACTCAAGCGCCGTTGGTAAAAGTGCATTTGAAGAAGGTACTGCTTCCAACGATGATGCATGGTGCTATGAAAAACGACATCACCGAACGATTAGTAGAACGTGCTGGTGAAATGGATAGTGATAATGATCGTTCAAGGGCTGCTATAAAGGATACAATCCAGGCTGTGGACGACCTCGAGTCTTTATCAGGTGAAGAATTGAACCGATTGAAAGCTCACAACTTTACTGAACGGGAGTACAAGAGATTATTTGGTGATTCTTACGAACCACGCCGTCGCTTTGCTGATATCATGCTGGTAAGACCCCGGCCTAAAGGTAGTAACCTAATGATGTTCAGAACCCATTCGGATTATCGGATTATGCAGTAATACCTAATAGACCAATGCCAGGGTCTCCGGAGCCTTATGCACTGCTAGAGCGAAATAAGCTCAAACCATCGGAATTGGTTGATGAAGATGCTGAGAGGTTACACTTACCAATGTTTGCGGTATGTTATCTTAATGTTAATTTACATTGGCGGTAGGAGCGTGGAGACGAGCCAGTTGCGGTAGCCTGATGTGCACGTGATCTAAGTTGCGCAATACCCAAATCATCCGCTCTAACCAATCGTAATTATGTACACATATGAATTATGCTTGTTATTGATTATTAATATCATATATACTAGAGCATTCTTGCTAAGACAAGGATCGTCGAGGCTTCCTGCGGCGTCAAATTATCGCAATAATAAAATAGGAGCTCTATTAGAATGGCCAGCAAACGAGAAGTTAGCGCAACTAGAAGATGGATACGATCGTTCTGGAGCTTATGCCATTGTACACATCTCCGGTGTACCACGATGGTTTGAAAGAGGAAGATTCTATGATGTTAATCGCATACAACAGCAAGTTGGTGCCAATGTCTATCTACACAGAGTCGCCTTCTTTCAATCAGAAGAGGGTTGGTATGTGCATGGTGAACCATATTTAGAAAATGTTCGTATACGATGCAAGGTACTCAAGCATTTCAGGGGTCCTAAACAAGTCACGCTAAAATTCAGATCAAAGAAACATTATAAAAGGAAATTAGGCTTTCGACCTGAACTTACCCGTCTAAAGGTAGAGGAATTCGACTTATTGCCACTTGGGCAACGATGGGTTGATGTTGATCCTATATACACTCCTTTGACGAGGATAGAACAGTTGAGAAAACCAAGTTTAGAACTACCAAAACTCAAAAGGAATACCATATATAGATTAACTGAGACTGAAAAACGTATGCTAGAGGGTGACCCTTTAGCACATTTCGATCCGGTTTACAACAGAATGTTTATCGAAGATCGAGTTATGCTGTTATAAATTGCTGCATATAACTATATTAATAATGTTCAATCTAGAATATGGTTCTGTACTACTCCGAATAACGGTGGTAGCGGTTCCTTAGTATATGAAATTATCTCGTCGCCCAGACGAACCTCAACCGCACAGTCACGGAATACCAAACAATTGTTGCGGTCACCTTTAGCCAACTCGACTGCATCCTTTCTAGACGACTGCATAGAATACACACTCAACTCACGTGCAATTGTCGTACCCTCACGCAATATCATACATAGGTTACCGATTCGTACGGTACCTGAGATCACGCTAGTACCGATAGCCTGACGTTTACCAACCCCTTTAAGGTTAAGGTTACCTAGTTGTGTCACCTGCATTGTAGCTTCAGGTTTCACCACATGTGTAGGTCCGAAATAGAATTCGAATATACGTTCGATATCCTTGAATAGCTCATAGATCACATTATGTACCGATACCAAGTCAGGTCGGGGAATGCCATCTGGTATAAAGGTAGAAAATCCCAGAAAGACTACCTTACCAGCTTCCACAAACTGCGAATCGCTGCGGTTAAAGGGTCCTACGCTACGAGATACTATACGAATAGGTTCCCAGGAATCCAAAAGTGTACGCGGGTCTGGAATGCTAGCAGGAATATAGCCACGTTCTACCAGATAACTAGTATCACATTCTAGACTTTTGATTCTGTTGAACGTATCGATCCATTCAGTTACAGCTTCCAGTCCACCTTGATCGCCACAACGAATAACCACTCCAATTTGTGGTATCGGTTTCAACTGCGTTATATCCGTAGTTCCCATCTTGGAGCCGCTACCAACCGACCCCGGTGATCGTGCATCAATATTGGCCATTCGCCGTTTCGCTAGATTAGCCATCTTTTGTGCCTCAGCGCGAGAGTCATGTTGATGCACAAATACACCAGCAGATAGACTATCGTGTGGCCAGCTTAGTTGAACAATTTCTGAAGGATAAGCTTGTTTTATAGTACGACCGCTAGACTCATATATCCTTTTGACTTTGCCGTAAGATTCTCCGCATACCAGCCATGTTGATTCTCGTAAAACACCGCTACGAACAATTGCGCGTAGACATCCACCTAACGTGGGATGAAGTTCTGTCTCGAATACGTATGCTGTTCCCGGCATACCAACGTCCACTTGAAGGTTTAACCTTTCACCAAGATTGAATATTGCAGACGTCAACTCGTCTATATTGCGCCCATGTTTTGCAGATATATATACAATGGGTACATCTGATAGATCGAGTCCGCATTTTTCGAGCATACCTCGGACATGAGCACCACTATCCAGATCAACCTTATTGACTGCGACGACAAATGGCAGGCTATCCCTTTTAATCAACTCGATTGCTTCCACTGTCTGCGGCATCACACCATCATCAGCTGCTACTACCAAGATCACAACATCAGCACACCGTACTCCACGGGCACGCATATTACCGAACGCTGCGTGACCAGGTGTATCCACGAAAACAAGTGTACCACGATCGAGATTTAATTTGAAAGCTCCCAATTTCTGAGTTATCCTTCCAGCCTCAGTTGACACTATATCCGAACGCTGCAATGTATCTAGTAGTGTAGTCTTCCCGTGATCCACGTGGCCCATAATAGTCACCACTAATGGTCGTTTTACCAGCACCTGTTTAACCCTCGATATGGTAACAGAGCGTTGTGATTCTGTGAATGTTACTCGATATGGTAGAGATAATTCTTCTAATATGAAGCTTGCCTCATCCACTGATAAATGATCTGGGTTACAATCCAGCTCTTCTGCTAATGAACGCAACTGATTAATGTCTGTATCCACGTATGATGCAAGTACTTGGCATGTGAGCCGTGGTACCGTTAATGAATTGCTACTTGCATCATTGGATGCTTTGTCTCTTTGTTCAACCTTTGAATAGTCAAACTGTTCTGTTTGTTCTAGCATTCCGTCATCAATAGATGGCTGGAGGTGTATCGACGGTTTGGATGTCGTTGCACTAGGTATATTAACTTGTGAAGTCTCGACAACAGGGTCATCTACGGCACGTGCCCGTATTGAAGATAGCAGCTCTTGTAACTCATCTTCAAGTGACTGATCGCTTATTAGGTTACGTGATGATGATTTGCATATTTGTGGAGACGATTTCCCATTTTCTTTCCCAATATCGCCATTCTTCAGTGCTGACATTACACGTGACATTAGCTCCGTATTGCTACAATCCTCACCGTGAAATGTTTTTATCCGACGCATCAGGAATGATATATAAGATGGCGTGATCACAGACATATCTCGTAATGTTCCCTGATCATTGACACTTTGATGTTCGGAGAGTGCCGACTTATGGAGCTCTCTGATAGCTGAGAGGTCCTGGGGATCAAATCCTTCATATTCCAATAATTTATATTCCAGTTCTTCATTTACCTCTGGACCACATTTTGCAAAACTGGTGTTATCATGGCATCCGGGGCCCTCTAATTGTCCACCTAGTGTTTCGGTTGCCCCGAGCTCATTTGGCAAAGTAGTACCTGACTGCAATCCATTTGATATTTCAAACTTTGTCAGTACAGGGATATGTAACGATTCTTTTAGAGACACTGCAGTGCTCACAGGTCTCAGCTTCTTCAATAGCTCCGGTAAATGTGCCTTTCGGGAAAGAGCATGGGTAACCTCACGCAATTTGCACTTCGGTGGACACAATCCTATTCCCTTCAAGCCTCTATGTGCATCAGCATCGCTATGATTTGGTGTTTCTTTTAGTTGTTTGGGGTGTCTTATATGTGCTTTTAAATTTACAAAGGCTCCTTGAGACCGTAGGGAAAGATGCTTGCTCAGTAGCTCACGAGCGTGACGAGCAGCCATCGCAGTATTGCGTTATATTGTAATCTTATGGTTATCCACGTCCATTTCCCTGCTGTTTTAACGACAAAACAGTGGTTCCCATCATATATGACTTTGGTTTCTATCAGTTAACAGGAAAATCCAGGCTAGAGCGACTGCGACTCCGATACTACTTACGCTGACAGAATCTAATGAAATCGAGTGTATCCCAGACGTTGTATAGGCGGCATATCAGATATATCTGTTGAATTTAGTACCTGTATCTAGAAGGCAGACTAATCCAACGCTATCCGAGCTGTATACGTACAAATAGGCAGATCTTTGGAGCCTTTATGGGTATATTATAGTTTATTAGTGCGATATAAGTTTATTTATATTGTCTGTGTTGTAATTAGCCCTGCGAAAAGTACCCATGTTCCCACACATTTCCCTGTGGAGCGCGTATGGCACTGTGGTCGGCCGCGTAGGGACCATTATGGCATAATATAGTCTTATATCGCATTATATTGAAAATGGCGGCAGGTGGCGATAGTACATCCACCAAGCAGAAGAAGAAACATCACGGTGATGGCGGTACCGGTGCCTTCGGTTTACTTGGTCTCAATAAAACTCTATGTTACGCCCTTGAACATAAACTGAGATATAAGCAACCGTCAACTATCCAGAGGAAGACTATACCAGCCGTTTTGCAAGGGCGTGATGTTGTTTGTATCGCTAGAACCGGTTCGGGCAAAACCGCTGCATACCTTGCTCCGATAGTGCAGCTTTTGGAAGGTCATTCTAGGACAGTGGGTGTCAGATGTCTTGTGTTACATCCAACTAGGGAACTTGCGTTGCAAGTTGCATCTGTTCTGAAAAAGTTTATTGGATTTACCAAACGTGATGATGCTCTGCGGAGTGCCACAATCATCGGTGGAGAATCTGTTGAAAGCCAATTCGGTGCTCTTACGTTCAATCCAGACATTGTAGTAGCTACACCAGGAAGACTGTCCCAACATATAGTGGAACATAGTATCGACCTGAACCTCCTATCGCAGTTTGTTATCGACGAGGCTGACAAATTATTCGAGATGGGTTTCATGCCAGATGTATACCGTATATTTTCTAAGCTTCCAGAAAAAAGGCAGACTATGTTAGTCAGTGCTACATTACCATCTGAGCTTACTGAATTTGTAAATTTCGGGTTACGTAATCCGGTCATCGCACAAGTTGATAAGGACATGCAGATCAACGAGCAGCTTGAATTAAGGTTTATCTATAGTCGTTCTGAGGAGAAGATAGCTGTTTTATTAAAATTGCTAAAGTGTGCTGAAGACAAAGAGCGAACTATAGTGTTTGTGTCTACAAAGCACCATGTGGAGTTTTTTCGTGCGTTATTAACTGCTAATGGCCTCTCTATATCTGCAGTGTACGGTGCCATGGATATGACAGCACGTTCACAACAAATGTCACTTTTCAGATCATGTAAGACTAAGGTGTTGGTAGTGACTGACCTTGCGGCTCGTGGGTTAGACCTACCGTTGGTTGACTGTGTGATAAATTTTGACTTTCCGCATTCTTCTAAATTGTTCATACACCGTGTAGGAAGGACAGCACGTGCTGGTCGTCAGGGTCTCGCGATATCATTAGTGACAATGTACGATTTTGCTTTTGCGTTTGAAATTCTGACTGCGATAGGACGTAATTTGATAATATCTAAGGAGCTGCCTTTCGGTAACGAAACTTGTTGCATAGGTACTGTAGGAGATATAACGGTGAATGTCGAGAAGGTGAAATCGATTATACAGAACGATAGTGATGTGGAGAGTTTGAAAATGTCCATGGATGCTTCATACAATCTTTACTACAAAACAAGACCCAGCCCGTCCAATAACGCTGTAGATCGTGCACGAAGACTGTTAGAGGCTTTAGGAGGTATCAATACTGTGAGTAACTCTGTACATCCTGCTTATATGAATGCATCTGCGGGTTCGGCTTCGGCTCCTACGGCCAATGCAGAGCCAACAGCTAAAGAAAGTCAGGATACTAGTCATACTAAGGAGAACATCCTTGAATACCTTCATGGCTTCCGTCCTTCATCTGCTAAAACCACGATATTGACATCACTACCGGCAAGTTCTATCGCAACTATGGAGCGTGCGAAACATTATGCTAAGCAGTTCCAGAAATTGGATTCTAGTATGAAAATATCTGGTACTGATGTATCAGACATAATGGGCGTTGCGAAGTGTGATGCATATGGTTCGGTATCAAAGAGCGAGTTTTTGGTACCGTCTTCCGCATCAACATCTGTGTCTCAGGACGAGCTGAGGCTGCCTAACATAACTCTAAACATAACTCCTGATTCTGAAGAGCTAATGCAGAAATCTAGGTTTCAACGTAAACAGCATTGGGATCCTAAGAAGAAGAAGTTTGTTCAAGTGACCGTCGATTCTATGACTAAGCGTGTAATAAAGAACGAGAGTGGTCAGAAGGCAAGGGTGACAGTTGAGAACCAAGGTTTGCTTAAGAAATGGATGAAGACGAGCCATAAGCGTATACAAAAGGTCGGTGAGGAAGAGGAGCATCAGTCGTCTATAAAGGTTACTAAGTTTCCCGATGACGATGAGTGTGACTCTTCTGATGATGTGAATGTTAGCAAGAAACCCAACTATGACGAGCTGATCCGCATGTTCCCAAAACATGCTGCTACATTTGAGGCTGCAAAGCTCAACCTACCAATGACGCACAAGCAGAAGCGTACATTGAAAAGGCTTACCACTGAGCGTAAATTCGACAATACGCGTCCGGAACCAAAATCTACGAAACGTCGTAAGACTAAGAAACGTTTGAGCCCCGAAGAGTTTAAGAAGAAGGTCGATCGTAAGATCGCTTCTAAGGGTGCGCCAAGTCGTAGCAAGCTGATAGTACGTAAGCGTCGTAAATGAACTGTGATGGCTAGTATCTAGGATAGGGTCACGTTTGTGTGGATTGTATCAAACATTGTCATTAAAATGGTTGTTTTTTTGTGCATTATGAAAAGTTCATAATTGTTATTATATAACGATATCAGCCTACTCTGTCCAACAATGTCAGTGTCTCTTTGAGTCCGGCAGCTTTACGTCGTAGGTCAGTTTCACCTTTCAGCTGTTCTAGCTGGTTCTGGCAATAATGCGTCGTACGTACTACTACCTCTAGATCAGAAGGTGACTCCGGTACCCATTCTTGCGCATCGTATCTATCTTCAAGATTAGACGTGGCTGCATCCCTGGGAAAACGTGTCCTCGATGCTGTGTGTGCGAAAAACAATGCTAGCTTCAGCCTACGAGTCAAACGCTTAACCTTCAGCAGGTATAGAGCATCACGCTGCAACACATTAAAAAATAGAGATTATAGTTATAATCACCTTGTATAATACCGATTGTCTATAGCCGTCCATATTTTAGAACATGCGTGCATAAACCTTTTTCATCCGCTGTTCTTGTATTTTGGCTTTTTTCTCCAAACACGCTAACAACTGCGCACACATTGACGAAAAAAGTCGATACCATATCCTTACCTGTTTCAAATCTGCGTTATCGGGGAATTTAGAGACACCAAGCCTTGCATCAGAAAGCGCGTCATCCAATTGGTTGAGCTTGTCATACGCAAACGCTCGGCGGTACAACGCCTTTGTGCTATCCGCACTGCGATATGTTATATACAAACGAAAAATGGTGAATGGAAATGCAAAAAATGGTATATAAACGGATAGCTACTGTTCACATGACATGATCGCCACACGTCGGTGGGTATCCGGGCGAGAGCAGTGTATAACCTACCTTATTTCTAGAGCTTGAGTACAGCAGCTAACAGCCTTCTTGTAACTTTGTTGCGTATCCATTTTGATATAACACTGGTATTTAATAAACAACTATGGGTATGTAAACTCACCATGGCCAAGTTGAGGTTACTTGCCAATTTCAGAGTGTCTAGTTGAGTACGTTCCTCATCGTTTGCATCGTTAACCTTTGAACAATATTGCAATGCCTTGACATAATGTTGTGCAGCCATCTCGATGTTTCCACCGGCAACCAGAGCGTTCCCTTCATCCTTATTCTTAGCAGCACGTTTGATGCAAGTAGCCTTGGGGAGGGTTACATCCATGTTGACACCGGATATAGATGATATATCATCTGTCACAGCCGCACGTGCCATTTCCGATTCACGGGCTTTAACAGCCTCCTCTAAAGCCGATATATATCCGGGGAATTTTGCCTTGATGTTCTCTCGGCACTCGTTCAGCTGCAGCTCGCAGGCAGATGCACTCACGGCCTTATCCGAGGCTGCATCCAAAGCGAATTCTTCCAACTTTGAAAGGAAAAGGTCGACATCTTGTAACTGGATATGTTGACTAAAATCACCACGCGCATCGTTACGTGTCTTGATGACATACTGGTCTATTTCATTGAGCACGGCACGTTTACGGAATTCCTCATTCTCAATAGTGGAGAAACATTCCTCCCGTGCAACTGCTGCTGAAACTTCCGATTCGCCGATATCTACAGATACACCGTCCAATAAGGTGGGTGCGTCCGCTTTGGCCAGTGATACGGCACCACTAGCAACTGCTGACGTAGAATCTAGAGACATACGTACTACCTGTGGAGCACCATGCGATGTCGCTACCTCGGTTGCCAACGCCTTAACAAAAGGTACACGTGATCCACCACCAATCACCTCTATCGCAAGCATACTACCTGACGGTACCGGCTCAAGTACTCGGTGCATCATACCTTCTAATGTTTCCTTAAGTGGAGCACACAGCTCTTCAAACTGGCTCCTTGCAACCATCATGGAAAAATCATCGCCATCTGAAAGTACACGCTCACAATCAATTTTAACCTCTGATACCACACTAAGTTCCTTGAGCGCCTTAGCACAACCTTTGTATATGTTAAAAGCTTGGCGACTTGGTACGGCAGTAGTTTCACCTTTTTTACTTTCTATTGTCCTGCAGACGTTATCTGCTAGCTTCTCGATCATTTGAAATGTGCCGACATGGTCATTGGACTCTTCTGCTACAATGCGATGTTCGAAGGATTCATTTTTCGTTATTTCTGCCACAAAAAACGTGCAGTGGCAGAATCCTACGTCTAACAATGCAACATGCATTGACGGTTGGCCCGTTTGACGTGTGAATTCGTCAAAAACATCGGGAAGATGTGAATCACACCAGCGCCTTAGCAGGCACTCAGTCTGTTTGAACAACTTGATTCCTCCAAAACCTAAACGAAGTTTAATGGTATATTGCTTATGTGAATACTAACCCCATGGTGCCAGTGAGTTACGGATACCCAGACATTGAGCTTCAGTGAAGTATACCGGTACAGGTACAGAGAGCATGATACCGTTATTACCACTTAGGTCAGTCGATCCTAGATGTTTCCGAACTGTCTCTAGTAGCCTGTTAATGAAAAACGCTAGGATATCCCTGGGTTCCACCAAACATTGCTGATCGTTGAATTTAACTTGGAATGCAGACTCTGTGGATGATTGATCTAAGGCAAGAGAGAATAGGTAACGTCTTGATTGTATAAAGTTCAAAAGGTCTTCAGATGATAGCCCGACGATATATGGAAGCAACTATTGGAGTATTAATGGGTTAAACGGCGCAGAAGACTTACACATATCGATGAAGAGTACAAGCTGCTGCTGCGAAGGTCGGCTTCTTCTCCATATATACTGCACAATATTGACCTTCTTCAGGTAAATACATACCGTATCCGTTTATCGTAAGCTACAATTGTAGGAGTTTCACGGTTTGAAACGCGGTTAACGTGTAACTCGATAGTATCACTTCCAGCCCAGGATACACAAACCTTGCTGGTGAAACCGCCTAGGTCGACTCCAACGGTTGCCATCGTTGATTAAAATGTAATTAAAAGCACAATGTTATGATATGTAATTATAATTTGTATAGTGATCTGGAGAATAAAGGGTTCTATGGTGCCTTCCGAGCCTATATGTAGATTGTACTACTGAAGATTCTCGTCTCCGAATACCACTATATTATACACATTGCTAAATTTGTTGGCATTGTTGTGTATGTTGTGCCCAGGCGTCTGCTCTAGCTTGAAGAATTCTGCACACGCAAGGTACTCCCGAGGACACTGGAGGAGACTAACATCGTGGTATCATTGCCATGAGTAAATGTCTTTATGATGTTGAGTGCCAACAAACAATTGTGTTAGTTGATTCGGATATCTGTGTCGTCGACACCAAGACAGCTATTGTCAACCTCTTAGGAGCTGTTGCGAATATCCAGGGCGACACCCTGCGTTCGCCATGGAATGACGTCCTGGAAACGCTACAAGAAGACACATCTACTTTGAACTCAAAGGAAGGACTCGGAGGTTCAGTATTGAACCAGAAAGTAACATCTAGTGACCAATTGGATACCTCAACGAAAGTCTCAAATCACTCTGGAGCAACTAGTTTGGATGTAAAAGAGCGTGTTTGTGAAGTATTAGAGACTGTAGAGTTTGAAAATCAAACCTACCGTAATAGATTGTGGCAATTGGCCCGACAGATACGTACCTACAGCTGCTGTCCGAAATCCGTTGTTGAAGAGGCCTTGTCGATTGCGGAGAGACTGCTAGAAAAATCCGACAGTATCAACTGCGTGAGACTAGAATCTCTTGTCCGATGTTTTAACGGTGCCTCGGTTGTCTTTGTTTCGTCAGATTCAGAGCGAAATACTTACGAGACCACACGTGAAAATAACATTGTCAACGTTAAACAGTTCAAGCGTTTTGTGGAGGAGATAGTGACTGCAAGCTACCAAAGGAACTACGAGTTAGACTTTATAGGACAGACAGAAAATAGTGTGGACGTCCTATTGAAATCTTCAACTCGTGATTATCCAAAGTCTAAATTGGTACTACTACTAATTTCACAGTACCCAGAGGCTATTCGTAGGCTCATAGACGCAGCTGGTAAGTACCACAACTTATCATGTTCCATATTGTACAGGCATAACGTCGAGAGGTTTTGAACATTTGCAAGTCGAAGTTGCCTGCCCCGAGGACGTGCGTAATTACACCAAGTACAAGGATACCACAAATTATATCCTATATCCACAAGAGAGTAGCGTTGTGCAATATTTGCAAAAGGAGCTTGAGAAGGTTTCGTGTGATATTGTTTTGGTTTCCAAAGTTGGGATCTCCAAATCTCAAACCGCTGATATATCGTCAAGCAGCTGTAGTGACAAGGTTGATTTACTCCGTGAACCCAACTTCACTTTGGGTAATACCTTATTGGCATCCTACTTGAAATTTAAGGAGCCGATCCTTTTGAACGGTATTGTAATAAAAGGATTTGGTAGGGGTGCATCCTGCTTAGGTATACCTACAGCGAATCTTGATTGTGATTTCATCCCACATTTAGTTCCAGGTGTATACTTCGGTACGTGTTATCTTGTGGGCAATTCGGAAGTTGATGAGCATACACCTTTGAGAACGATATTGTCTGTTGGTTTTAACCCTCATTTTGACCACGGATTGTATTCTGTTGAACCTTATATATACCATTCCTTTACGAAGGGCTTTTTAGGTCAGCGTTTAAATCTTGTGATTGAAGGATTTTTGAGAACAGAAGGTAGATTCGATTCTTTACAGGGTCTTGTATCTGCGATCCAAAGGGACGTTATTGAGCATAAGGTGATAACATTGTGTCACAATGGGTGTCATTGATAAGATTCGTGAAATTGAGGCCGAAATGGCCAGGACCCAAAAGAACAAGGCTACAGAGTACCATTTAGGTCAATTGAAGGCCAAGCTTGCGAAGTATAGGACCCAATTAGTCGAAGCCCGTCCTATCGGTGGTGGTAAGGGTGAAGCTTTTGAGGTGTCTAAATGTGGTGATGCACGTATCTGTCTCATTGGTTTTCCATCTGTGGGCAAGTCTACTCTTTCTAACGCTTTGACCAATATGAACTCTGCTACTGCTGATTATGAGTTTACTACTCTTACGTGTGTCCCAGGTATTTTGATGTACAAGGCTGCAAAAATCCAGCTACTAGATCTGCCAGGTATCCTTGACGGTGCTTCTGAGGGTCGTGGTCGTGGTAGGCAGGTGATCGCTGTTGCTAACAGTTGCGATCTTGTGTTGATGATATTGGATGCTACTAAGGATGATTCTCAAAAGTGTAAACTTGAGCGTGAGCTTCACAACGCTGGTATCCGCATTAACCGTAAGCCTCCAAACATATCATTTAAGCAGAAGAAGTCTGGTGGTCTGAACATAAACCATCTTGTACCAATAAACCACCTTAGTGAGCGTGTAGTTCACTCAGTGTTACATGAGTACAAGATTTTCCACGCTGATATAATTATCCGTGAGGACGCGACTGTCGATGACCTTATTGACGTGGTACGTGGCAATTGTAAATATTGCAAGTGTATTTATGTGTATAACAAGATCGATATGTTATCATTGTCTGAGATTGAGGAGATAGCACGTCGTCCTAACACTGTTGTGGTTAGCAGTTCTAAGGAGTGGAATTTGGAGTTATTAAAGGAGCGTATGTGGGACGAGCTTGAGCTTATGCGTATCTACACAAAGAACAAGGGTGAGGTTCCTAACTTCGAGGAGCCCATCATAATGACACCGCAACGTGGTGACGGTACAGTGTCTGCTGCTGTGCAGATGATCCACAAGAAGATGTTGGATGAGTTTAAGTTTGCTTTAGTATGGGGGACTAGTGTGAAACACAACCCTCAGCACGTTGGTTTGAAGCATCAACTCCATGATGAAGACGTAATCCAGATCTTCAAGAAGCGTTGATATGTTCAGTATCGCTGTAACACATATAGCCGTTAATAAGTTGTATGTATGCGAATATATTTTCAATTATATCGAAATATTGATAGTTAAGTTAGGCTTAACCCAAAAGGGCACTAGCAGTCTCAGACTTGTACTTCCAGTTAGCTGGTAGTCTTCTCTTTTTCTTGAAGTATCTCGCAAGTCTGTGTATTCTTGATTCCAATAGAATCAATCTGAACTTGGAGTCTTTATCATTGAGGTTGTGTTCCATGTGCTTCCTCATAACAACAGCTTTCTTCACTAGGTAGTAGAGGTCCTCTGGGATGTCAGGTGCCCACCCTATAAGCAATTGATATATAGATCATAGTACTCACCATGTCCTCTGAGGATCCTGAGTATCTTGTTGTTCGTGATAGCCTTGACTAGGGGTACAGCGTTAGAATCACGAAGAACAACACCAATTTGTGAGGGTGTCATTCCTTTTTTTGCAAGTTTTACGATTTGTTGTTCAAGGTCCAGGGGTTTAGTCTTAACCCATGATGCTGGCCTGCGGCGATAAGGGATACTCGACGAGGAGATACCCTTGCCCTTTCCGTACATACGGCCCATTGTGGTATATGCACGATAGTCCTATACTAATATGACCACAGTATATATGGTCTTTTTATGTAACAACACTAATGTTAAGCGGTCGTTTAGCCGTAATCTCCTAGGCGACACCTAGATGGGGCAGTGTCGGCCAGCGGCGTCATGGGGGATGATCGTCATGAAATTAGTCTCTTTTGTTTACACCAAAATAGCTAAGAATGGAAACTGATCGTTTCTTGGTGTGTTGTACGGTATCAGCTGGTCTTGGGGTTTTTTCCACATGTGTTACTGTTGACACACCTTCTGGAGCCGGCACATCGCCGCCAATAACATCTTCAGAATCCCGATAAGCCACGTTAGAATTGCCTTGCGATAATGCTGAAGCTATTTTTTTGTCTTGTGAGCAGGCTAGTTGTTTCTCTGAGCACTCTAAGAACTTGTACTTGGGATAGAGCGGACTCTTGACGATATTCCCTGTTATGAGTCAGTACGTTATGAAATAGTATACAAAATGGCAGTATGTAATATTTATAATGTGTTGTATGTAAATGTGCCAATGGTACATTAAACTTACATATATGTTCCGGTTTAGCCGGGTAGTTCGCATCGGTGTCTAGGATATGTTTATGCAAGTTACTTGCAAATTGTGATAAAAATATTGTCTGGGAACATATATGATTGTTATTAGTACCACTTACAGTAGCTCTACCCAGTAATCGCAAAGCGTCCCTGCTTACCCTCGGTGCTTCCTCATCCAACTCCAGGATACGGCGGAGCCTGTGTACCGGTATTACCTGCTCATCCGTAGCATTAGCGCCCTTTGGTTCGTTAGCAGGTTGCGTTTGCCTTAACAAAGCGGCTTTTTGGCGATATTCCTGCAACGTAGTTATACCATAATAAAGACATTAGTATAGTGCTACGACTAGCCCGTATGTAGCGTGATAATGTACATGTATAATTGGTTTTAGGTAGTAAGAAGACGCTGCTGAGCTTACAGCATGCTATCTCTATAAAGATATGAGCACTAACCTCTTGATGTGGGCATATCTTCCACAACCGTGCGACTTCACGCTGCACATCAGCTAGTGGTACGGTCTGTATATTGTTATATGACAGTATGATGACATTACCTCGGTACCAAGACGTTCACGTAGCTCGGAACGAACGCCACCAACAACCTCTTCGTAGAATAATCGGAAACCGGTAATTACAGTGGTTGATGCAACATTCATGTTAAAATTTATTTGATAGTAATTTAATTTTTTTTTAATCGCGAAGTCATGACGTTATTTGCATCCTGAGCATCGCATCGGGGCTAGGGGTAACTCTGCTGTGCACAATATGGCGTCTCAAATGAGCCTGGAGGCGTACAATATCTTCAACATCAGATAAGAGCTTCTGCTTAGCAGATTGACGAGAGATCCATGCGTCAAGAATAGCAGTAATCGGTTCCCAAATGCTAAGACGCTGACGCTGAATAACAGTAAGCTCCTTAGCCATCTTCTGCGTAAGGAACATCATTGTCTTACCAAGAGCGTATTGGTCTTTCGACACACCAACAGACTCCAGAAGACGCTGGGAAGCAGTCTTGGGGTCCAAGGATTTGTCGTTGGTGATTGACAGATCCACGTACTTGTACTGCTCCAAGAACGACTCATAGGGACGACGGTATGAATAACCAAGTTTACGAAGCTGGAGAGCTTCAATGATACTCAGCGCGTGGAGTTGTACAAGGATCTTGACGGCATTGAACTCCAATGGTTTCTTGGTCTCGTTGGGTTTTACACAACGAATAAAGTGTGAGTCTGTGCTGTTGATCAATTTCATCAATGCTTCCAATTGTGACATGAATTGAGAACCAATCAATTGACCTTTAGCCAATTTGCCACGTGTAACTACAACATTTTCAAACAAGCTCCTTATCATCTCATTGGGTGATGCGTTGACACATTCCACCAATTCAGCGGTCAATACATCCTTGTTCTTGAACACGAACGACTGTGCGTTGTATTGGATGGTACCAATAGTGTGTACAACCGTAAAGTTCAATTTGGATCCCACTTTAGCCGGCGAGTATTTGCTGCTGTCCTTCAACTTGTTGTTGCACGAGCTCACGAGGTTCTCATCAGTACCACCTGGAGCCAGACATTGGTCCTCTAGCAACGACAGGATTGATTTACCCTTTGAGCATAATATTTCAATGATTGCGGTATTGCTGGTGTAGTTAAGCTCAGGGATTGAGATACCTTCGCTGGTGTACAAGGCAGCTTCACGCTTGAACACAATCTCCACGAAGTTGGTTTGAAGCATTTCATTAGTGATGTTGATAAAGAGTTGTTCCAGTGAGTTGTTTTTAAAGACTTCGAAACCGAAAATATCAAGCATACCAATAAAGTTCTTGAAACCGGATTCTGGCTCAATAGAACGGTTCAGGTTACGTATAAGCCATAAGAACAATCGTTCGTATACAGCTTTGCAAACACTAGTTTTCAATACTTCAGCATCTCCAACCTTACGTGGCCCCTTGATCTGGTTGGCACCTGCACTAGTTACTTTGATAGTAAGTTCAGTTTCAAGTTGATTTGCGTCTAGGAACAACATATCACATGCATCTTTGAATACGTTTTTGTTAACAATCATAGCAGCGTCATCAATACCGTCCACTGAGGTGACACCAATTTCAACATTACCCAATAATAATACACCAGATAATATAGAGAAAATGGTTTCCATGTGAGAATCGTCCAAACCCATGCTCTTGAAAGACGCAATAACTTCCTTGAAATCAGCAACATCATCAATAGATGGTACATCTAGGCATTTTGGGTTCAAGAATTTATAATCCGTCAATCCTTTAAGTTTGTATTTTGTCTTCATTTCGGGTGTTGCGCCTTTAAGCAGCTGGTAGAATATGTGGTATGATCTTTCTTCCGGGTCCTGTGTGATGATACGTGATTTTTCCAGCAAGAATGCAACAACTGAACCGTACCGTATCCCACCTTCTTCAGATACATCAAGTTGCATAAAACGTCCGAATCGTGATGAGTTGTTGTTACGAATAGTTTTAGCATTACCGAAAGCTTCGAGTACAGGGTTTGCGGCCATGATTGCAGTTTGTATCTGTCCGTTACTTTGTCCATTGCTGTTGTATGCAAAGTATCTCATCATCTGTTTGGTAGCTTCAGTCTTACCAGCACCAGATTCACCAGACACAATAATGGTCTGTGAATACTTGTAATCATATACATTTTCCAATGCGTGCCTGGCTGTTCTGAATACGTGTGGGTCCAATTTGAGTGAGTCTGAAGCTTCCTTGTAATGGCGGATAACTTCATCGGTAGCATTGCCCAAGTTTTTGAATGGGTTGACAGCTACTAGTAGTGGATCGGCGGTACTGTAGATTTGGTTGTTCATAAAACGATGACGTAGGTAATCCAGTACACATGGTATGTTGGTCTGCGGTAGCATACCAATGTCACCATATGTCATAGGATCGATTTGTGCATTCGTATTCCATGCATTTGCAATTGGTACTTCGAATGTATTGTTTTCCTGTATCGTATGTATAATAAATGATTCTTTTGCAACTAACCTCGCCAGCAGCTGGAGGTGGGTCAATCTGCGTACATAGAAGCTTTTGGCGTGTTGACCCTGGTTGTACTAGACATTTTACGAAAAGCAAGGAAGGGTCCTCTTTAATGCTGGGTGCCACGTCAGTCCATATTTGGAAACCCTGCAAAGTAATTAGTAAGTATATATTTTGCTTGCATATTATGCGCATGAACAACACCTACCGTAAGAAGGTTATCCGATGCATCAAAAGCTTGTACTTCAGTACCCTGACGTTTTAATGCGTTCGCCGTGGCGAGTTCGTCCTTCGAGACGTTAGCCATTAGATAGTTGGATGTTGATGTTCGTTTCAGTACAATGTGCAAATTATTTTGAGTGTTCCGTTAAAACATACATGTACTAAATATACTGGTAGGAAAAGCGTCAACGCGCGATACACACGGCGCTGCAAGTGGCGCGATTCGACACCACACTAAAGAGCACAAAGAACCGGTACTATTAGCGCCTAACTACTAAAGGGTATCACCTAAACACTAATGGGCGTAGAGTCCACAATTGGGTCTGCTTCTATATATGGCTTTTATAATAGAATGCGGGGGTAGGCATGAACTTCTATTCGCATGCCCGGAATTAATGCATAAAATGTACATGTATCAGACTGTAACTGACTTGTTTAACTCATAAATATTAGTTTTTTCATGGTTCAAGGCGCACGGCCTAATGGATACGTTCGTGTAATTTGCACGGTACAGTGCGCTTACACAGGCACTTGAAGTGCTCATCGTCAAACATGTATTGCCACATGGCTCACAGCTAGCTATCGACAATGAATCTATATATGGAAGTTATTTTGTGCAAATAACCTCCTATAACCTCATTGTGTAAAGGCAGCGCATTCCAACGAACCGTTATGACCATATTCACTATAAAACACATGAATTTTTGATATGAAATGGTTGGAAAAATGCCATTTTAAAATATTACGCGTGGCGGATCTCGGCCATAGCTTCTTAGATCTCTCTATAGTACACATAGGTCTGTAAGATGTTTATACATCGATTTTTGACCGTATAAATATAGAGAGAGCGAGAGTAGAGTGGTACAGTTGGATCTTCCAACTTACGTTAATATATATTAAATGGGAAGCGGGATGCCGTAGCCATACTACAGAGAGTATAGACCCATATATTGGTACTTATAATCGACTCTAGTAATGGAATCCACTTAAATTTTATACACAGACAACACCGTAGTAACAGAAATGAGACAAACTCTTTTTTGTTTCATAGTATTAATCAATACTATAACAAAGGAGCTAGCCAACGCTTCTGGATATAGGAGCTGGTATGGCCCTGCCAAAAACGCATTTAATAGGGGTAAATCAGCGTATGAAAACATAGTTAAGGCGGCCCATGATAGAGAAGAGGAATGCGTCATACTACATTCCAATGATAGTCAAGTTGCACAGGTGCAAGGCAACGAATGGGGAAGTGACTTAGGGTCAGAACAATTCCCTTGTCTACAAAAGCTACAAAGAAACGGTTAAGTGCTACTAAACCAGTCTATCATTCTGAATACAGAGTCGAAAGCGCTGTTTGATATAAATGCAAATATACAGGGGATAGTAGGTGAGAGCAGGAAGCGCAAGATCATCGCTGAAGGTGGATGTTGGCAATTTGTACTCAACCAGATAAATTCACTTGATATCGATAGATGTGACATCAAGGGTGAGGTATCTAGGGCATTGATCGCTTTGGCAAAGACTAAGTGCCATTTTATAAGATCTGGAAGAGCATTCCCGTTGGCAGAACATGGCTGCATCCTGAACCCGCAGACAATAGATGATAGCGCGCTTGGCATATTCACTGAAGACTATGAAACCAACCCATGTAAAGAAAGATATGAAGGCGAAGAATGCCAAAAATTAAAGGAGGACATTGTTGCACAATGTACCAATCTAAGGATCATGTCAGAATCCGCATTCCAAATGTATCACGCTGATCTTAATCATATAGGTAAATATATATGTCGAAATACTTGACATTTATATACAGATGACATATGTTTCTATTTACAGGCAAACGAATGGAACCGTAGGACCGAATCGAACGTAAATGATTGATTTGTGTTTCTACATGGTCCTGCAGATAAATAGACTGGGGGAATCGACAGTGAATCTCCTAAACAAACATCAAAACCTAGAAATGTTCCTCGATTTGATGCAAAACCAACAGGAAAAGAGTTTACAGCAAGCTGCTAGGTCAGTTTAAATGAAAATCGAACATAGCCAAAGTATGGCTGCGCTGTGGTCGTCTCAATACTGGGATATCATGGTTTCACGTATATCTCAGACCTAAGCGTGACCTATCCACTACGTCTATAGAGCAAACTGATACTTACTACATATTTTTTGTTACTTTATTTCGTGAAAATGAACTCCGATTCTATACCCCTTTCGGCATGTAGGGCTGTGAAAATCATTCACTTTTCTTTTCATACTTCAACATAAAAGTGGTTTAAAATCATCGCATATGCATTTCATATACGTTTGTGTCATTTTGCTACAGGCTAAGTTCGTGGATGGGCACATTGCAGGGTGATATGAAAAATGTCTTCGTCATTCTGGATATCATTCGCTCATATCAACGAAAAATAGTCGGTATGTTTGCTGTAAGTGAAAATCGGTTTCACAATGGCTATAGAGTTCATACATAACTTCAAGCTCTTTTTTCTCTATGCACTGTACATAGCTGTGGCAATCGCCTTCACCGTATTTGATGCCACTGCTTGGGCCCGTCCACGAATCGTTTTAGGTAAGGTTTTGTGGAAAAAAACAAGATGCATCTGTTACAGCCCTCGTCATTGCATGTGCTACCGATTTCTTGTCTTACAAAGTGATCACAAGATCGGCGATATTGGATCAATTTGCTCTTAGCAAGGACGTCATATACAGTACAACATCTAAGGCAATAAAATTGGTAAGTGACATATATAGAAGGATATTATGCATCAGACGACATTACTGTACACATTGGTGACGTGGACAACGGCTTTGATAACGTGAGTGAGTTCGTAACAAATGTTATATCCTGCAGCTATCAACCACCAACCCAGGCGATGCTGAAAGAGATGACCCAAATTCGTAAAATACTAACACCACGAGTTGTCTACCCACAGTATACACATATGGAAGACGATTCCGATAGCTCGGATATTGGAGGTTAGGTTTACTGTTCGAATCGAAAATATTGTACAGATGGCCGTCCTGGAGGTTATACTTTAGATGACTTCGTAGAGCTCTTTGGAGACCACAGTGACAGCAGTTATTCATATGGTATCTTGACTCAATGGCGTTGTAATCCATTCAGAATCTGGTTACACTACGGATGAGTCGATTGATGGGTCCCTGGGAGAGGACTCAGAGGGTCTGGTGGAGGAGTATCTGGAATCCTTGTCGAAACAGCGAAGGTATTCCGCGAATAGGCACAACATGCTTAAATACAAGCACACATAGAATTCTTTTCTGAAAACAATCAATGATAAACGGAACATGGCAATGCCTGACCACGACGGCTACACACAAAACACACTCGATAATCGATCAGTAAGAATAAATACTATCCTTCGTCTGCGTAATAAGTCTCAATTATTGCTACTGGCATAATATTTGCGTATCCATGGCGTTGGAAGTAGCCTTTAAGTCAATATTGTGACCTCGCGATAAAACGCGATTTTTTAAAGAACGACTATATACGGTTTCAAGCCATTTGGGACAAATGGATCCGAGACAAAGGATACCTATAAATCCCAACGGAGAGGGTGTCCCCTTTCCAAAGGTTCCCCCTGAGATGCAACAGCAGATGAAGTATCCACCGCGGTTTCCACCGATGGCATACAGAATGGAGTATTCTGCACCGATGGTGGAACCACCAATGTCAGATTCACCGGGAACTACACCGAGAGGGCATATGCCTGGTGTACCATACCATCAACCACCTCATTCACACCCATACCAGCAACATCCGCATCCACATCCACATCAAGGGATAACGTCGGTCACTCATATAAGACAAGTACCGCAGATGACACCGGTTATAGGATATGATGGCACTGTATACCCTCATATGAACTTAAATCCCCCGCCTATTAGTGCTATGCATATGCAACCATATATGGCGAACAATCCGCAACATATGATACCGCCACGCTTTGAAATGTATGTGAAGGCACCGATGCCATTCAATCAACCAAGACCGGGGGATCAAACATGTTCACCAAGGCCACAACTGCCACCGCCAAAACCAGATATATCAAAGATGGATACTGGCAAACTCCTGGAACAACTAGTTACTGTAACCGATGTGTCCAACGCAACAGAGCCCACAGGCCCGCCTCTCGAAGAGAAGCTACAGAATTTTGGAAACACGATCGCGGATATACTCAAATTGAATGCAGAGATATTAGAATCATCGAAGTTAACTGCTGGAAATACTGAAGGTGCTAATGTTGATATGCAGAAACTGGACTCCATGACCGCTGCTTCATCTAAACTGTTTTCAAATGTCGCTAATATATCGCAAGAAATGCATGACATGACAGACAAGCTGCCACCATTTTATACTAGGTCGTCACCGTATTTCAGGAACCTAGAGATAAAGTCAGGGGGATTCACATCGTTCTCTCATACACACATACCGCAGGCAGCAGTGTCCGCTCAACTAGTCAGGTTACAGGCGGAGTTCCTGCAAAAACATCCCATCAGACCTCAGAAGGACCAATGTTTATGAGACCTAAGCTAGTATAATGTCCGTTGCTTATCTGTGACTAAGGTGCACTAAAGTGGTATTCATATGTACGCTGGCAATAATTAGGCGGAGTGTCTCTTAAATTGTGACACTAGGCTAAAGTGATCTGACGAAGGCCATCCTTTATTTGGTAAGTTACCATTCTCGGTTACATCTCGGTACGCTGGGAGCTCATATATCGATTCCACATCAAGTTCTTCACGAGTGTACCAGATGTAATCGACACAGCCCCTTTGCCAGCCATGGAATGCTGTGAAAGCAGGCTCGTTGCAGCGATTAAGTCCAGGGTCGAATACACTGTACGCACTGGTGAATTTAAATGGGCAGAAAAGTAGGTCATTAGCGATTGAACCCAACTCTTTATCGTCTGTACCTTCACATTTCTGGTTATCGATAGCGGGTTGCCCAGACTCATGCTCAGATACCGCGTGCAAATAATTGGCTATAAGACGACGGACACTACCATCATTCTTCATCCAATCTGGCATTTTTGTAAAAAAGTCAGTACGCGTTGTACGAGAGAGTGACTCCAACCATTCGCTGCAATCCGCTGTACCGTATATCTCCGATATATAGTTTCCTTCGAAATCTCCAACAGTTATACCAGATTTTGCATGACCTGCTTGCTCAGTCTTATAAGTTGTATCGAACATCAGATATTGGCCGGACATAAGTTTAACATCGCAGTTACGTAGAACTACATAACCTTGACTCAGGAAATGGTATAGCAGGCTTTGTGGCGTAAAGTTAAAGTCACCGCACATGATAATTGCCGGTTTGGGGTTAGTTGAGGCAGTATCACCCAAACTCTCGATAGCAAGATTTTCCATATCCTTTATAGCTGAAAGCATAGCACACAGCTGTGCGAATTTAACATCACCACGGTTCTTGTTGAATAGCAAATGTGTATTAGCGACAATATATATATCGCGTACTTCTGCTTTATCGTCATCTACCAGTTTAGTGGCTTTGTCGATCAATGCCACAACCACGGCAACCTGCAGTCGATCGTAGTGTGCGTCATGTACGGCAAACTCTACATCCTTGTGGTACAACAGATCGAATCGATCTTCCTTGTACAAGACGCAGACACCATCGAGTTTCGGCGACTTCTTCTTTTTGAAGATTGCACCGTATCCCAAACGTTCGAATTCACCCAAGAAAAAGTTATTATATTCTTCCTCGTCAACTTCCTGCAAACAGACAACGTCTGCATTAGAATGCCGTAAAACGTCAAGTATCGCAAATTTGCGAATATTCCAAGACATTACATCACGGTCATTGTCCAAGTACTTGTTATCCACAAGGCTTCGTGCAAGGCAGTTGAAGCTCATAATCGCCAAAGAGTCGAACTTGAATTTACATCGTCTATCATCTTTGGAGCTATGTTTTTCACATGACCATTGCCTTTCAACCAGGCTCGAAGTTTCGGAGTTTGGAGTACTACAATGCGAATCTTCCAAATTACCAATAGACAAATCATTTAGTTCTTTGGTAATGGCATCAACTGATGTCACCATAGGCACACAATCTGTGGGCATAGTTAATATGGAAGCGTTTTGCGTCCGTTCCTCGTTGGTCCTATCATCTTTTCCATCCGTTTCTCTGGAATTCCGCAATCCCGATTGTTCCATATCAAGGCCACAACTAATGAGTGACCCTGATATAGATGCAACGTCTTTCATATTATTAGCAAGACGCACCGCTCCAAGGGTACCGCCCGGCATATCGTGTGTTGTCATTTTGTTTATCGGTATGCGATTACGTATATGTACCCAATCACGTTTAAACGGTGTTTGCAGCGAATTCCTTTGACCACGGTTATGGTTATACCTAGTATGTATCCCAAAGTGATCTTGTTTCACATTAAAGTTATATCTATGTGAGACTCGATCTATTTCGGATGGCAGTAGAGATGATTTCCAGAATCTTCCGGTTATCACTGAATATGTGGAATGACGGATGTCCGGTCTCATGTACGTCTACGAATACGTCCACTTATATCCAATAGCCACACTAATTAAATATAGGTACCTATGGATACCTATTTTGTCTCCTCGTGCGATAATAGTCCAGCACGTATCAGTATCGTATTCACAATTGGTTATTAGGGAAAAAATAGAATTTAATACATAAGCAAAGCAACATATACCACTTTGAAGTCTACCAATCACTTTATATATATCAGTTCGGGTTATCTTTCTTGGAATCTGATGGATTCATAAAACAGCGTCACGACATAATATTGAAGCTAGTGGCATGCTGCCAATAATCCTATAGTAGCGATTTTCGCACCTTTCTTGTCCTACAATGGTCCGATTCTTGTTACAAGACGCTGCCGAGTAGAACCATACAGATTCAAATTGTTTCGCGACTCTTCAAAAAACGGCACACCGTATCAATATTACAGCCCATTAAGGAAGTTATATGCCAATATTGCAGACGGATCCACTGTATCCGTCATACCGAATGAATCTGCCATAGTGACACGATAACTGATGGATATAATTTTAAAAATGAACAGTTTATATATCTAGGCGCCTCGTCAGACCAGAGACGACACTTTGCGTATAAAAAATTCTTCGCAATTTTCATAGACTTTATATGAAAATGAGAAGATATTTTCAATTGAATCTAATGTGTGTTATACTCGTGAATTAGTATAAAGCGGGGAGCAATTGTCAGCCCGCCCGTCATAGGTGGGTAACCTCCATATATAACGGCGTGCAACTAACATAGCGAGCCGTTACACCCTTTTGTACCATTTTACAGCGTGAATCAACATGGATGTACTTTTAAAAAACAATGACACCTCACTTACCATGTTAACAAACTATACTGACTGTTGGATATATGTGTCCTCGGACACAATATGGCCTCTTATGGCTATATTAGCCAATAAGGAGCTGTGCATGGCCTGTTGTATAAATTCAACGGACCAAGCAGCTTCCAATAAACGGTGGGAAATAACACACTGAGATCTATGTGCATCAGATACATGACCACAGCGCAACCCAAGGATACACTAGATCCATATCATTTGGGTGTTCATGACTACACACGTAAGTCAACATTATAGAAATATAGGAAATTAAGCGGTATGTGCCACCGCGCGATTAACCGTGATAATCCATAGATAATGGAAAATAGGTTAAGGGGCGACTAAAGTATCGTTTTAGTAAACACATGGTCAACCTGAAATACATATGAGAGAAGAAATTTCTTAATAGCTGTGATTCACAATAAATCAGGAAGACGACAGTGCAATAAGACATGGAATGTATATTACTGGAATCCGTCTCCAATGACACAACAGGATGGGGGAAGTAAATATGCTAAATTCCATGTGAGACATTTTTAGACAGTAAATTGTGAAAACAACTAGGTAAAAATATCGCTGGAATCATTGCTGTGTGGCGACTCGAAAGCAGCCCCCATCGGCGCGATATATCGCAAGTGCTACCATCTTACGTGCGACTAGCGCGCCATAAACAAGCCGCAAATCCAAAGGGATACTTCAAACTTGTCAAACACGGTATTTAGGATATAGACCCGACGATGTCTGACGAGGGCGAGCAGGCCGTCGAGGTCGCCTATCCGTGCGCCCCCGCTCCGCCGGTAGAAATCAAGCTTTTTGTCGCCCGTATACCCAAAACATACGAAGAAGCCGAAATTAGGAAGATGTTTGAAGAATTTGGAGAAGTTAAAGATGTAGTCATTATACGAGATAAAGCAACAAACGCACACAAATGCTGTGCCTTCGTACGCATGGTATCAATATCGCAGGCCGATGCGGCCATTAAAAGACTAAACAACAATTGCGTAGTAGATACAGCATTAGGAGCCGTACTAGTCAAGTATGCTGCTGGAGAAGCGGAACGTTTAGGGTTCACATCATTGGTTGGAGAACCTGGCGTTAACGAATGTAAACTATTTGTTGGTAGTATACCAAAAAATGGTGACGAGGCTATGGTGCGCGAGATATTCGAACCCTTTGGCACATTAGAAGATGTCTTTGTCATGAAAGACCAAAGTGGCGCAAGCAAGGGTTGCGCATTTGTCAAAATGGCATATAAAGAACAAGGATTACATGCGATACGTACATTAGATGGAATGAAACAACTAGATGGATGTTCGCGACCCATGGAAGTAAGGTTTGCCGAATCTAAAGCAAATAAACAACAAAATGTCGTCATGCAGCATCAAATACCTGCAAGAACACCAGTTGTACAACCACCATACCATATGCCAACACCCACCCATGTGCGCCAGGTAGGGGTATGGAGGGAGTATATCTCGCCCGAGGGTAAACCTTATTTTTACAACGAACAAACAGGACATACACAATGGGAACGACCGGCAGAGTTTGATAATGCCACTGCCAACACCTCACAGGTACCGTCAGGACCACCAGGGGCAAATTTATTTATATTTCATATACCAAATGAATGGACACAATTTGATCTTGTACGAACATTTTCGCAGTTTGGTAAAATTCTAAGCTCGAGAATAGCAGCAGACAAATCTACAGGGAGACATAAAGGATATGCATTTGTGTCATATGATTCACCAGAATCGGCAGCACAGGCAATACAACATCTTAATGGTTTTACAGTTCTTGGAAAGAGACTCAAGGTGGCAATCAAGAAAGGTGATGAAACTGCAGCTGCACCGGTGGTAGGTGCGCAGGCTGCGGCCGGAACGCCGATGGCAGCCCGCGCACCTACACCGGCGTATCAAGCATATCAACCACCTTTGGCACCAGGAGCACAACCATATGCGCAACAGCAATATCCTCAGCAACCCTACTACGGATCTTACCAAAGGTATGCTCCATATTGATGTGATGCGTCTGATGCATCAATAGAGTTACGAGGTGACCGTGTTGCAACGGTTTCATAGCACATGTTCATGCTGGGTTGCATATTTGGCTGTCTAACGTGAAGTGAGTGGCATGAATGTCTCCTTCTGCTGCTTGTTGGAATGCCTATTGTGCCCTGCGATGACTTGAATGACGGATTACATAACTACTACATATATGTGAATATCTGCCGATAATATCAGTTGCATACGACCGGCAATGGTGAAACACACCGACCGCTAGTCAGCAATGCAGCTGAGGACGGCACATACGTCGGTAGCGTACAATTGGTCCTCGCTGCTATAAACTATGTAATATACGTGATTACATTTCACACAAGGTGTTTTATAACAGTTCCGCAGTGATGTTGTATCTGTAGTGCTTGTTGCTTGCGCTCAGCTTCACAGTTACATGGTCAAATAGTTTCACTCGACGGCCACATGCTAGTGTCACACATTGCGTAGGTGCATCAAAATCGACGATATCAGCGCTAGCTGTAGCTTCAATACCAAGATCATGTGCTAAGACACATATGCGCTTGGAACTGGAGCCTACGACTGTTGCAGTGGTGGTCACACTGCCCTGAACAACATGTAACAAGGTGGAGACATATGGACCTACCTGCTGCCTCAGAAAAAGGTACGCAAAGAGTTTACTGGACTCACGACCACACCAATTGGCGTTCCGATGCCGTTTATTCAGCGTCTCACATTGTGAAGATAGCTGCAGTCAATATCAATCTTTCGGGGTAAACCACCCACCTTATGGAAAAACGCAGTGTCCATATGTTCGATACCAAGCGCAGCAGCTAACATGCGGTGGACCACGACGTCAGCATAACGACGGATAGGCGACGTGAAGTGGGTGTAAAGATCACTGCACAGTCCGTAGTGCCGAAAATCTCTAGCATCAGTGTCACCGGAGTAACAATATACAGCCTGACTCATACAACGAGTTGTCAATATACGAAGAGCACTGCCAAGTTTCGGATCACTAAGGTCCATAATACGACGTAACGAGCTGTTTAGGTCACGGGAAGTACCAAATTCAAAGTCAAGGCCGTGCTGGGACAATGATCGCTGTAACGCCTTGAGACGTTCTTCTACGGGTGGTGGGTGACGACGAAGCAGCGCGTATGTAGGGAACCTTTCGAAAATCTTAGTAGCAACGCTCACGTTGGCTAGAAGCATAAACTCCTCAACCATGCGGTTAGTGTCATATAATACATACTTCTCCATCTTACGGATATCTGTAAGCTCATATTCAAACTTCACATCAGGTGATTCCAACTCGACAGCACCACGTTCAAAACGTTTACTACGCAAGATTTTAGCAAGACGATCGAGTCCTTTCAACGCTCTTGTGATCTCATCACTGCAAAATGGATTACCCTGTTTACGAGGCAACATACCTTCCATCGGCGTTTATAAGATCTTGCGCATCCTTGTAAGTAAATGCCCGTGCGCTACGGATTATACCTTTCACAAAACGGGTATCGCATATAGTGTCGTTCTCGTCAAACTCCCATACAACAGAGAAACATAGACGGTCCTCATTAGCTACCAACGAACATAGATTTGTAGTTAGCAATGATGGCAACATATCTGTGCGTCGGTCTACCAGGTATACCGTTGTACAGCGTTCCGAAGCCTCCATATCGAGGCGACTACCGGGCTTTACAAAGTGGGTCACATCGGCAATATGTACAGAGACCTCTATATTACCGTTATCCAGTTTGCGATAACCTAGAGCATCATCGATATCCTTACAACCAGGTGGATCGACGGAAAATACAAGCAGGTTGCGAAAATCGGCACGACGTGCAATCTCATCTTCATCGGGTTTCCAATCAGCTGGAGGCAGTTCTTTGCATACCCGTTCTGAAAATTCTCTAGTTATGACGTCATGCTCCCTCAATATAACTGCACTTTCAGTTTCCATATCCTCAACATCACCCAAAGTATCGACCCAATGACCATATGGCTTAAGTGAAAAACGATCCCAACCATCTACAACAACCACTATACGTTTACCATCGAGTTCGCTCGATTTTCGAGTATCGATAAAAATGAACGGTATACGAGCATCTACCGGTACGAATACGCGCTGTACCACGTTAGTATGACCAACCAGGTCAATAGTTTCGTCTAGAGGTATCAGTGTACCACAATACTCACGCCAATTACGCCTCAGAATGCCAACTACACGACATTCTTTTTGTATACACTCCGGCGTTTTATCATCCTTGGAAGAATCGATCAACTTCGAATCCTCAGATTCCTCACCAGTAATCTCTTCCGGAATGAAAGAGCCGGCTCCCCTAGTATCATCTACGTTTTTTGACGGCTTCGGTTCAGTAATAACCTCGATACATACGCTATCGCCGTGAATCGCACGGTTCAAATTATCACTGCCGGTGATTTTGTATTCCTCATTGCCACATATAACGTAACCATTTTGAAAAGAACCCACATACATATGTAGTACCCCTCTATGATATTTGCCACTTTCAATACCGTCGTGCATCTCGGATTCCGTTAAATGTGCTGGGTATAATGCATCATAATCATCATCTGTTCTACGACGTTTTCTAGTTTCGTCATCTGGTTTTGCAGCAATATATTCGAAGACATCTTTTATAGTTGGCTCCAATTCGTGAGCCCATTCATCCACAGTCATGCGCTCCAATAGTGGTTTACTCTCATCGTCACTAATATTGGCTACTCCCGAAGCATCAGTGGCATCAGCCTTTTCTTCATCCACACCACCGGTACAGTTATTCCTTAAAAGGATGACACGGGTAGTTGGAGGTAGGTGTTCCCGGTACCACTGAGCGCACTTCTCGATTAGAAGTTCGTCACGTTCTTCAGGAGAGACTTCGCCAGTCTCCTCCACATATGTCGCCTCAAAATTCTCATTGGAGAAGATGTAATAGCGTCTTGGTGACGTACCAAGCTGCTCATCTACCATCTCTATGTCATCATCAGTGGCATTGCGTGCTGCCAATAACATTTTTTTCATACGAGCGTAGATCGTAAGGCTCCTCCTCCGTACCTCGTTGGCAACAGTAGCTGGTATAACACAATTGGTCAAACATCGTTCACAGAAGGTTATCTGTTTCATCAATACATTGACTGTCAATATCAATATCGTCTGGTTGCCTTCCAAGGTACCTACTCGGGATTACTCGGATGCCTTGTATACTCACCCTGATGTGAAGAACGAGTACACGTTGTACAACTATCGATGCCGCAACCGATGTCTGTACGGTGATATATTTCACGGGTCAATCGCTTGACGTTGCTATGACCAGAGGCACGCCAGAAGTATCTGATCGACCTCTTAAGTTGCGGCGGCAACTCAATAGCTTCAGCCGATTCTGCCATTTTAAAATTATATATGTTCATAGTGTACCCGTTGACGGCGGGGATTCCCATAGTTACCGGTTACATCGCACACCACGATGCCTACATGAGAGCTGACTGCACAATGCATAGTTGGATTCTGATATTTATCGAAAATAGCATAAGCTGTCCGCGGTGCAGGCGGTGTTACTGCCCCGGGTCATTCTATTAGAAAACGCGCGAGTAGACAACCTTCTAAGTGTGCTACAAGGGCCGTCGATGTTCGTGATATGCCACAACCATCCATTAGAACCATGTGTAATATTGCATGAAATTACATGCCATACTTATATTTCGAGGTTTGGCTAAAGAATCAATGGAATTTCGGATCGATGAAAAAACAACACACCGCGTGATGATCTGAAAGAAAGATCTAATTAATAACAATATGGATGTAACCGGTGAAGTTCGCCGCGAAAAATGTGCACCGAGTATGGAATAAATGGATCGTTCAAGAGTAGCCGCACAATAGGTTTGGCGATAGTATACCTCAGAGCGCTACACACCCCAACCCGTCAAGAGTCTCGTGATGTTACAGGTTAACAACATAAAAAACTTAATTGGAATGAACGACATTTATTAAGCAAGCAAAAATGACAGCGGTAGGAGGCGACCATACAAGCTTCCATACGAGCGGAAACACCGGGAATGATAATTCACAACACGATCGAAATCTGCTTCTCAAACTTGAATCTACCTTCGTGAATATGCCCTCAAAACCCAGTACGACCAATGACAGATCTGTGAAAACCTTCTCACAAAATGATATCTTCAAAAAGTGCTCGGAACAAATCAAAGAGGTAAGTCATATATGTCGCTCTCATCAACCTTCTAACAGTACGGAATCAAAGTTTCTTCAATATGGAGAAACTCAAGTGTTGCGGTACTTACACACCACGCATTGATATATGAACCGAATACAGTACTTAGTACGACAGGAGCTGTTTGCTGCACCTCAGGAGAAAAAACTGGAAGATCACCCTTGGATAAAAGAACGGTGCTAGATGACGTTTCTAAGGACAAGGTATGGTGGGGAAAAGTTAATATCGAACTCACGGAATTGGCATACACTATCAACAGGGAACGTGCGGTAGATTACTTCAATCTACAGCAAAGACTATACGTAACAGATGCCTACGCAGGATGGGATGATAAACACAGGATACGCGTAAGAGTAATCACCACAAGGGCTTACCATGCGTTGTTCATGAAAAATATGCTTATAGAACCTACAAGAGAAGAATTAGACTCATTCGTACCAGACTTTGTTATATACAACGCCGGTGCATTCCCTTGCAACAGGTACACCAAAGGAGTATCGAGCTCAACCTCTATATGCCTAAACTACAAACGCATGGAAATGGTCATTCTAGGATCAGAATATGCTGGTGAAATGAAAAAAGGAATATTCACACTTATGATGTATCTCATGCCTCTCAAAGGACTGTTGCCGCTACACTCATCGTGTAACATTGGAAAAAACAACGATGTAACATTGTTCTTTGGGTTGTCTGGTACAGGAAAGACAACTTTGTCAGCAGACAATGCTCGTGGACTTGTAGGTGATGATGAACACGTCTGGACGGATACTGGAGTATTCAACATAGAGGGTGGTTGTTACGCCAAATGCAAAGATCTATGCCCTAAAAAAGAACCGGAAATATTTGGTGCTATACGTTTTGGAGCCGTCGTGGAGAATGTTGTGTACGACCCGGATACACATGAAATTAATTACGCAGATTGCTCTATTACGGAAAATACAAGATGTGCATACCCTCTGAAACATATTCCCAACGTGGTAATACCAGCAAGGGTGGAATACCATCCCTCGAATATAATATTCCTTACCTGCGATGCTTTCGGAGTACTACCGCCAGTTAGCAAATTGACAGTCGAACAGGCCATGTACCACTTCGTCAGCGGTTACACCAGCAAGATGGTAGGGACGGAAATGGGTGTCTCAAGACCAACAGCAACATTCTCAGCGTGTTATGCGGAACCCTTCCTTGCTATGCATCCCGTAGTATACGCAAAACTATTAGAAGAAAAATTACACAAGCATTCGACGGACATATGGCTACTCAATACCGGATGGATTCAGGGCACCATAGATTCGCAAAAGGGACGTCGTATACCACTTAAGTACACCCGTGCCATTGTTGACGCCATCCATAACGGTACCCTGAAAGACGTAAAATGCCAACGTATGGACGTATTCAATCTGATGGTCCCGGTGGAGGTAGAAGGGGTGCCTGCAGAGGTACTAGACCAGCGTGCTGGTTGGGGTTCCTCGGAATATGATGTGCAACTGAAACAACTGGCACAGAAATTCGCCGAAAACTTCAAACAATACCAGTCGGAAGCCAACGAAAGCATCCTTCGTGGAGGCCCAGTAGAACTGTAGAACGTTTAACACGTATAGGCCACACCAACAGCCAAGTCAGAGTATCGGACAGTGAAAAGGACACAGTAATCATTAGCTGTTTATCAACTTCAACACGATAGTTTAGTGTATTAGTTGGTTGCGCAACTCTGAGCGCCACTTTTGCGCAAGTCTGCGGGCACCATTAAAACCTCCAGACGATGCCACATCAAAACGACCGATATACAGCTCCTGGTCACTTGGACCCGGACGTAATAGGTCACGTGAGGTCACCATCAGACATAGTGTACGACCACCCGATTCTAACCAAAAGTACAGTGGTCCTGAAAGCTTAGATGTCATATTCTCGCCGTTCTGTAGACGTTTCTCCAATGCCGATACTGCAGCCTTGTAAGCACCATGGAACCCTAAAGTTTCAACATTAAAAGCTTCTATGTCACGTTCCCCTGTGCTAGAGTTATACGTAATGATCATCCAAAGCTGCGCTCCACACGAAAATACTAAACCGCGAGTCTCAGGCATAGAGCGAGCTGCCTCCACATGGTCGATCTTAGTTCCACTCTCCGGGTTGCAGCGTAAAGCTACTGTGCAGACCTCCTCGAGAAGACGCCGTTCCTTGCTCGGTACAGCAGCAGATGTGGAACCAACAGCGAAGTCGGCTGCTAGCTTCAAAGCACCATCTACACCAAATTTACGGATTGAAAAAAGTCGACGCCTCCGTGCACCCAACGGGCCCAAATAAACGGAAACAAACGAATGCTTCTGCCCGTCGTATTTTACCATACTCTTGAACTCTGGCGGTATCGTCGGTACAGGATTTTTCACGGTTTGTACCTCTGTAAACTGCGATTCTTGAGTGTCATGCTGCGCCGATTGTACAGTTTGCGTATTCTTGGGTACCGTGGCTAATGCCATAGACCTCGGAGTTGTATCCACAGAAACGGGAGGTGATGTCGATTGACTCACATCAAGAGGGATAGAAGGTAACATAGCAGGTAGCATCGTGTGAGGATCCGGTACCACTGCTCCGGCCTCAAGATTAGGTATTGTTTTGAACTGTTGCTGGTTAAGTGTGTCTCCGACATCCACATATGGAGGATATTGCATTGGTACCCCGTCGCCGTAACTTTCACCCTGATTCGCAGAATCGTAAGGCTGGGTAGTAGCCGGGGCGCCGCCACCCATTGAATATTCGATCGCCGGCGATTGCCCCCAGTTAACGTCCGAAACATCAACTGCCATTGATGACCCATCTGAGCCACCATAGAAAGACTCAGTGTAACTCGTCGTGTCCATACCAGATGACGCGCAAAGCGTTGGCACAGGTGGTCTCATAGCGCTTCTAAAATCATAATTATTCAACACACCACCAAATATCCGGTTCCTCGCATCGATCAATAACTGTTGATTTTGGATGTATGCCCGTAAATATGTCAACTGGAGTGTCATTGAGAGATGTGGTTCAATGGCGTTTAATAACTCCTGGGTTGGTGGTAGCGGCATACGTTTCGTAAGTTCGGTGATGGCATCGTTGAGTCGAACCAATTCGTTGACCGTTACGCTGCGGTCCAACCGTTGTGGCATGACATCATACACATTATTGTAATCTCCAACATCGTTGATTGCATCCATACCTACAGTAGACGCACCGCTGATATCCTGAGGCCCACCGATGTTGTTCTGGTCAGATGGACCAGTAGCGGTGGAGCTCTGAGATGGCAGCGATGAGTAGAACTGATGGTTTCCATAGTACATCGAAGGTGTCAAGGAGCGAGCCAAAGGGTCTCTAAATCCATCAATAGGCATTATCGCCCCAGCCGAAGCGTCAGAGTTTGGAGCCCAAGTTCTTGTTGTTGACATAGAGCTATCTGCAACATTTGAAATAATATCCGACCTTGGAATAACATTTCTGACATCGCGGTAGAGCACAGTTTCATATTTGCCTTTTGGGACCGCGGGCGCGTCGCCCTTCGGGTCCTCGGATTGCCCTTCACATGGTGTGTTCTGCGATTTAGATGACGCTCCTAGATTGCCATCCCGATACATGGTGATCAGCACCACTCGGCCGATTCCGCTGTGGTACGTACATCATATATCTCGGCCTTTCAAAGGCGCGAGTTGCCGCGCAGTTTTCAGCTGTCTGGACAACTAGCAATAGTACTTACAGAGCACCTGAAAAGATAAATGGGACCTCGCAGGCTTAGATTTACAAGACAATATTTGATGTAATCATGTCGTTGCAATTTCTGTGGCAGGAGTACGGACAACGCGCTGCAATACGCCACAGTGCCACGAACAATTAGCAGCTTTAATAATTTCCACGGTTGCAAATACCGCAGATTAGATAACAACAATTCTACAATTAAAAAATAAAAGTGTTATTTTTGAAAAAACATGAATATATCAATTATGGCGACTGTACGCGGCAACTAGCAGTACTGACCGCACGTTAAGCCACACATCAAAAAATGTGTATCAAGAATAGAAGGGAATAGAATCTATCGCAAATCTATGACATATGAATGATATTTACAACAAAATGCTGAATATTTAAACTTCCAAATAATATTAGACGCCATGCTAAATCTTCTTTACGGCATATAACACTGATTTGATATCGATACTTAGGGAATATATATATATATATATATATATATATATATATATATATATATTCCCTAAGTATCGATATCAAATCAGTGTTATATGCCGTAAAGAAGATTTAGCATGGCGTCTAATATTATTTGGAAGTTTAAATATTCAGCATTTTGTTGTAAATATCATTCATATGTCATAGATTTGCGATAGATTCTATTCCCTTCTATTCTTGATACACATTTTTTGATGTGTGGCTTAACGTGCGGTCAGTACTGCTAGTTGCCGCGTACAGTCGCCATAATTGATATATTCATGTTTTTTCAAAAATAACACTTTTATTTTTTAATTGTAGAATTGTTGTTATCTAATCTGCGGTATTTGCAACCGTGGAAATTATTAAAGCTGCTAATTGTTCGTGGCACTGTGGCGTATTGCAGCGCGTTGTCCGTACTCCTGCCACAGAAATTGCAACGACATGATTACATCAAATATTGTCTTGTAAATCTAAGCCTGCGAGGTCCCATTTATCTTTTCAGGTGCTCTGTAAGTACTATTGCTAGTTGTCCAGACAGCTGAAAACTGCGCGGCAACTCGCGCCTTTGAAAGGCCGAGATATATGATGTACGTACCACAGCGGAATCGGCCGAGTGGTGCTGATCACCATGTATCGGGATGGCAATCTAGGAGCGTCATCTAAATCGCAGAACACACCATGTGAAGGGCAATCCGAGGACCCGAAGGGCGACGCGCCCGCGGTCCCAAAAGGCAAATATGAAACTGTGCTCTACCGCGATGTCAGAAATGTTATTCCAAGGTCGGATATTATTTCAAATGTTGCAGATAGCTCTATGTCAACAACAAGAACTTGGGCTCCAAACTCTGACGCTTCGGCTGGGGCGATAATGCCTATTGATGGATTTAGAGACCCTTTGGCTCGCTCCTTGACACCTTCGATGTACTATGGAAACCATCAGTTCTACTCATCGCTGCCATCTCAGAGCTCCACCGCTACTGGTCCATCTGACCAGAACAACATCGGTGGGCCTCAGGATATCAGCGGTGCGTCTACTGTAGGTATGGATGCAATCAACGATGTTGGAGATTACAATAATGTGTATGATGTCATGCCACAACGGTTGGACCGCAGCGTAACGGTCAACGAATTGGTTCGACTCAACGATGCCATCACCGAACTTACGAAACGTATGCCGCTACCACCAACCCAGGAGTTATTAAACGCCATTGAACCACATCTCTCAATGACACTCCAGTTGACATATTTACGGGCATACATCCAAAATCAACAGTTATTGATCGATGCGAGGAACCGGATATTTGGTGGTGTGTTGAATAATTATGATTTTAGAAGCGCTATGAGACCACCTGTGCCAACGCTTTGCGCGTCATCTGGTATGGACACGACGAGTTACACTGAGTCTTTCTATGGTGGCTCAGATGGGTCATCAATGGCAGTTGATGTTTCGGACGTTAACTGGGGGCAATCGCCGGCGATCGAATATTCAATGGGTGGCGGCGCCCCGGCTACTACCCAGCCTTACGATTCTGCGAATCAGGGTGAAAGTTACGGCGACGGGGTACCAATGCAATATCCTCCATATGTGGATGTCGGAGACACACTTAACCAGCAACAGTTCAAAACAATACCTAATCTTGAGGCCGGAGCAGTGGTACCGGATCCTCACACGATGCTACCTGCTATGTTACCTTCTATCCCTCTTGATGTGAGTCAATCGACATCACCTCCCGTTTCTGTGGATACAACTCCGAGGTCTATGGCATTAGCCACGGTACCCAAGAATACGCAAACTGTACAATCGGCGCAGCATGACACTCAAGAATCGCAGTTTACAGAGGTACAAACCGTGAAAAATCCTGTACCGACGATACCGCCAGAGTTCAAGAGTATGGTAAAATACGACGGGCAGAAGCATTCGTTTGTTTCCGTTTATTTGGGCCCGTTGGGTGCACGGAGGCGTCGACTTTTTTCAATCCGTAAATTTGGTGTAGATGGTGCTTTGAAGCTAGCAGCCGACTTCGCTGTTGGTTCCACATCTGCTGCTGTACCGAGCAAGGAACGGCGTCTTCTCGAGGAGGTCTGCACAGTAGCTTTACGCTGCAACCCGGAGAGTGGAACTAAGATCGACCATGTGGAGGCAGCTCGCTCTATGCCTGAGACTCGCGGTTTAGTATTTTCGTGTGGAGCGCAGCTTTGGATGATCATTACGTATAACTCTAGCACAGGGGAACGTGACATAGAAGCTTTTAATGTTGAAACTTTAGGGTTCCATGGTGCTTACAAGGCTGCAGTATCGGCATTGGAGAAACGTCTACAGAACGGCGAGAATATGACATCTAAGCTTTCAGGACCACTGTACTTTTGGTTAGAATCGGGTGGTCGTACACTATGTCTGATGGTGACCTCACGTGACCTATTACGTCCGGGTCCAAGTGACCAGGAGCTGTATATCGGTCGTTTTGATGTGGCATCGTCTGGAGGTTTTAATGGTGCCCGCAGACTTGCGCAAAAGTGGCGCTCAGAGTTGCGCAACCAACTAATACACTAAACTATCGTGTTGAAGTTGATAAACAGCTAATGATTACTGTGTCCTTTTCACTGTCCGATACTCTGACTTGGCTGTTGGTGTGGCCTATACGTGTTAAACGTTCTACAGTTCTACTGGGCCTCCACGAAGGATGCTTTCGTTGGCTTCCGACTGGTATTGTTTGAAGTTTTCGGCGAATTTCTGTGCCAGTTGTTTCAGTTGCACATCATATTCCGAGGAACCCCAACCAGCACGCTGGTCTAGTACCTCTGCAGGCACCCCTTCTACCTCCACCGGGACCATCAGATTGAATACGTCCATACGTTGGCATTTTACGTCTTTCAGGGTACCGTTATGGATGGCGTCAACAATGGCACGGGTGTACTTAAGTGGTATACGACGTCCCTTTTGCGAATCTATGGTGCCCTGAATCCATCCGGTATTGAGTAGCCATATGTCCGTCGAATGCTTGTGTAATTTTTCTTCTAATAGTTTTGCGTATACTACGGGATGCATAGCAAGGAAGGGTTCCGCATAACACGCTGAGAATGTTGCTGTTGGTCTTGAGACACCCATTTCCGTCCCTACCATCTTGCTGGTGTAACCGCTGACGAAGTGGTACATGGCCTGTTCGACTGTCAATTTGCTAACTGGCGGTAGTACTCCGAAAGCATCGCAGGTAAGGAATATTATATTCGAGGGATGGTATTCCACCCTTGCTGGTATTACCACGTTGGGAATATGTTTCAGAGGGTATGCACATCTTGTATTTTCCGTAATAGAGCAATCTGCGTAATTAATTTCATGTGTATCCGGGTCGTACACAACATTCTCCACGACGGCTCCAAAACGTATAGCACCAAATATTTCCGGTTCTTTTTTAGGGCATAGATCTTTGCATTTGGCGTAACAACCACCCTCTATGTTGAATACTCCAGTATCCGTCCAGACGTGTTCATCATCACCTACAAGTCCACGAGCATTGTCTGCTGACAAAGTTGTCTTTCCTGTACCAGACAACCCAAAGAACAATGTTACATCGTTGTTTTTTCCAATGTTACACGATGAGTGTAGCGGCAACAGTCCTTTGAGAGGCATGAGATACATCATAAGTGTGAATATTCCTTTTTTCATTTCACCAGCATATTCTGATCCTAGAATGACCATTTCCATGCGTTTGTAGTTTAGGCATATAGAGGTTGAGCTCGATACTCCTTTGGTGTACCTGTTGCAAGGGAATGCACCGGCGTTGTATATAACAAAGTCTGGTACGAATGAGTCTAATTCTTCTCTTGTAGGTTCTATAAGCATATTTTTCATGAACAACGCATGGTAAGCCCTTGTGGTGATTACTCTTACGCGTATCCTGTGTTTATCATCCCATCCTGCGTAGGCATCTGTTACGTATAGTCTTTGCTGTAGATTGAAGTAATCTACCGCACGTTCCCTGTTGATAGTGTATGCCAATTCCGTGAGTTCGATATTAACTTTTCCCCACCATACCTTGTCCTTAGAAACGTCATCTAGCACCGTTCTTTTATCCAAGGGTGATCTTCCAGTTTTTTCTCCTGAGGTGCAGCAAACAGCTCCTGTCGTACTAAGTACTGTATTCGGTTCATATATCAATGCGTGGTGTGTAAGTACCGCAACACTTGAGTTTCTCCATATTGAAGAAACTTTGATTCCGTACTGTTAGAAGGTTGATGAGAGCGACATATATGACTTACCTCTTTGATTTGTTCCGAGCACTTTTTGAAGATATCATTTTGTGAGAAGGTTTTCACAGATCTGTCATTGGTCGTACTGGGTTTTGAGGGCATATTCACGAAGGTAGATTCAAGTTTGAGAAGCAGATTTCGATCGTGTTGTGAATTATCATTCCCG